ATCCCAGCTCAAACTGAGGTCTGGGCTCAAGGAGGGAGTAAGTCGATAGCAGTTCTCTTTGTCATGGCAGATTCAGTTATTTCAGGTAGGAAGGCAACCGTATGGTAGCTTTGATATCGATGGAAATCCGAGTGTTTATGGGTAGAAGGGAAGGTTCCATTGTGGAGGGAGAGATGGAAGGAATGAGTGAAAGCCCAGACTGGGGGAATGCAGAAGGGAATTGAGCCTGGAAGATGGGTGTATCTAGGGGTAGGGAAGGGGTTGCCTAGCTCTCCTGAGGTAGAAGACTAGCAAGGAAACAGATTGATAGAGCAAGGTGTAGGAGGCAGAAGAAGAGGAAGCTTATGAGCTCAGGTCCCATTTACTGTGGTTTTCTCCTAATCACGGTGCTGGGCTTTGGGTTTGCGGACTCTGTAGAGTTTTGGAGGCTTTTTTTTTTTTTGGTGCTTATTATGAAAAACAAAGACTTCACCTTTCAAAAGAGTGCCTTATAGGCAATCAAATAATATATTTAATTGATTTGTCTTAAGAAAAGTAAAATAGATGAATCTGGTAGTAGTTAAATTCCAAGATAATTGGTGTGAGCAGATGTAACTATGTATATCTACAGAAATAAGGGTCTATTTCTGGTGGTTATGAATGCTTCCAATTACATAGAACAATAATAATAGCTAATATTAATATAGTGCCCACAAAGTACCAGGCACTGTGCTAAGTGCCTTTAGGATTATTATCTCATTCACTCCTCACAACAACCCTGGGAGGTAGTTGCTATTATGATCCCCATTTTACAGATACAGAAACTGAGGCAAACTGATGAAATGACTTGACTAGGATCATATAGCCAGTAAGTGTCTGAGGCCACATTTGAACTCACATCTTCCTGACTCCAGGCCCATTGAACAACAAATGTTGATCTGGAGGAGGCCTCAGAGATCACCTCACCCACAATCCACCCTCCAGCCCCATCATTTTAAAGATGAAGGAGCTTGAAGATTAAAGACCGAAGAGAGATTAAATTATGTGAGCCAGGCTGTGGAGCTGGGAACAGAAGTCATGTTTCCTGATTCCCAGTAGAGTGAGGTTTTCCACCTCATGGCACCATCCCCCTTTTCTTTGCTATTAGAGAGCACTTAATGCTTATTGCTGCCAAAGAGGTGGATCTGTACTGCTCTCCTGTTTTACAGATAAGAAGATTAAATTAATTTTACAAAATAAATTAATGACTGGCAGAGGAACAGTTAACAGGGGGAGGAGATGGCTCTGGGAGGGTAAGGTGGGGAGAAGGTGAGGGAGGGAAAAACAGAGACAGAGGAGAGGGAGAGACAGAGGAGAGAGAGACATAGAGAAGGGAGAGAGGCAAAGGGACAGAGAGAGAGAGGAAAGGGAGAGACAAAGAGAAGGGAGAAAGAGACAGAAAGAAGAAAGGGAAAGACAAGGGAAAAAAGAAAAAGAGACGGGGGAGAGGAAGAGAGACGGAGAGAGGAAGAAAAAAGACAAATAGGAGAGGGAGAAAGAGAGGCAGGGAGAGAAAGGCAGAGGGAAGAGAGAAAGAGCAGATGGACAGACAGATGGAGGGAGTAAGAGAGGGAGAGAGGCAGAAAAAAGAGAGGGGGGGCAGGGAGAGGAAGGCAGAGACAGCGAATAGAGAGAGAGAGGAGAGAAAGAGATGGATGGAGAGAGGAGAGGGAGACGAGAAAGAGGGGGAAGGAGGGAGAGAGGCAGAAGGACAGAGACAGAGAAGAGATGGACAGACAGGTGGATGGAGAGAGGAAGACAGAAACAGATGAGAGGGAGGAAACAAGAGAGGCAGAGAGACAGAAAGTGACAGAGGGAAGACAGAGAGAGACGGGACGCGGACGGAGAGAGAGGAGAGGGGGCTCGGGCGAGCGGGCGAGCCCCTGGCCCCGACCCGCACCCCGGTGCCCCTCCCGAGGGCCCCTCACGCCCTTTTCCGTGCTTGTGATTCCAGGAGACGGAAGTTCCCGAAGCAACGAATTGAAGCGAAGATGCGAAGACCTGGAGGCTGAGCTCAAAGCGAAGGAGGCGGAGAACCAGGCGCTGCTGCAGGAGCTGGAGCAGAAGAACGCGCTGATCGCGGTGCTGGAGACCACGGTGAAGGAGCGAGAGAAGAAGTACCTGGAGGAGCTGAAGCTGAAGAGCCACAAGCTGAGCGTGCTGTCGGGCGAGCTGGAGCAGCGCGCCGGCACCATCGCCTACCTCACGTCGCAGCTGCACGCCACCAAGAAGAAGCTGCTGATGAGCCCGGCCGACGCGGGCGCCGCCAGCCCCGCGTCCTCGGCCGGCTCCGCCGCCGGCGCCGCCGCCGGCTACAAGCCCGCGCCCCCCAAGGAGAAGCTCCCCGAGACCCCGCGGCGCCGCATGAAGAAGAGCCTGTCGGCGCCGCTGAACCCGGAGTTCGAGGAGGTCTACAGACTGGGCTCGGAGAGCCGCAAGCTGCTTCTGCGAGAGCCGGTGGACGCCATGCCGGACCCCACCCCGTTTCTGCTGGCCCGGGAGTCGGCCGAGGTGCACCTCATCAAAGAAAGGCCCCTGGTCATCCCTCCCATCGCGTCGGAGCGCACCTCGGGGGAGCAGCACAGCCCCGCCAGGGACAAGGCGCACAAGGCGCACGTCGGGGTGGCGCACCGCATCCATCACGTCCCGCCCGCCCAGGCGCAGCCCGAGGTGGAGACGCTGGCGGTGGATCAGGTTAACGGAAGCAAAGTTGTTAGGAAGCACTCAGGGACCGATAGAACTGTTTAAGACAAAACCGAGGAGACCCTCTATTCTATTGCTGTTTATGCACTGTGATCACTACTAGGAAAAAACATTCGTCTACCACTTTTTTTTTTTAAGTCCCATGCATGCCAAATTTTTTCAGATCTGTCAAATTATTCTCTTCCCCCTTCTCCTCCTCCCTCCCCCTCTACCCAAACCAAAATCCGATTGCGTTCCTAATGCAGAATATGTATTTACCAAATGCTGTGGCCAAATACCCGTGTATCTGAATGCTTGCTTCTAACCCCATTTAATCCAAGCGCACATGTGGACAAAAGCACAGGCCACAGTCTGCATTATTACGCGATATTAACGAACCCAGATAGTGATATACCTAATTATAAAGCTGGAACAACATGTATAAACTGACTTACGATCCCCCTTTGGAGTCTTCAGTATGTAATAGTCCATACATACATAGCCCCTGGAGACGATTGTAATTTCACGACAAACCTTTCACGGGCAGCATTGACAACAATGCAGAGATATGTATATGTCAAAAGGAACTAAATAAGATTGACATTACTCTTCATGTCACCTTGACCCTAATGTGTGTTCATATTTTTTTGTTATATTTTATTCCAAATTTTGAAGATCCCAACAAACTTTATTTTCTAAACCTGCCATCATTTTGTTTTGTGTCATTTATTAACCACTTGAGGGAGGGGTAAAGAGGGAGGGGGGAGGAGCAGTGGGCCCATTCAGTGGGTCATGTGTCCTTAGCCCGACTCTTGTCCAGAAGGCCTCATCTCATGTCCCCCCTGAGCGCAATGGGTAGGTGCCGCAGTGACAGACAGAAGCTTGACGAAAGGAAAACCAAATAGTTAGAAGGGTCCAAAAGATGTGGGCTGCCTTGGAAGATGGTGAGCTCCTTCAACCAAACACCCAAACACACACACACACACATACACACACACCCTCCCTCCACTGGGGTTCTTTAACCAGAGAATAGAAAACCTCCGATTCTCAGGTAGGGATTGAATGCCTCTTCTTAAGGTCCTTTCCAAACCTTAGATTTTGTGATTGTGGCATGGTTTCTTTTCCTGAAAGGGTAACCTTTTGATTGTGTATTAACATTCAGATATTTCTGCAGTTAAGTTCAAGGAGTTGTTTATAAAAATACATGCCTTATAAAAATCTGAATAGTTTCTTTCCCCGAGGTGCTAACTAACCTCGGATGTCCTGCCCAGTGTCCCCCAGAAAACTCCCGCCTAGGCTTGCTTCTTCCTTGGCCCATTAAAGCCATGTGGGCACCAGCTCATGAGCTGATGGGAGCTATCCTGGTAGGGAACCTACCACCACAAATCACTTCCATGTTAGAGGCACTGTCACTCACGATAGACAAGTATGTCTTCACTGGGAAGCTTAGCAGCCCACAGGCAGCAGTTGGCTCCCAAATGAACTTCCTTCTGCTATAGGAAGAGTCTAGCACCACCTAGCTTATGGATTAATACAAAATTTAGGATTTGGGGGAAGGGAGATGAAAGCTACTGAAGAATTTAGCTACTCAGAAAATCGTCTCTGCACTCCCAAAAGATACCAGACTAAAAGCAAAATGGTTATAAGTGCAACTGCTCACCAGGATGTCCTAACAGGGAGAAGCACCCAAAGCTTGCATTGTGCCAGTGGTTTTAAGGCCCTGGATTTGGAGTCTGAGCGTCCAGATCTGAATCTTGGCTCTGCCTCTGAGTGGCCTTTGGCAAGCCGCTCCCCTCTCTCTGGGCCTCAGTTTCCTTCTCTGTAAATGAGGGTGTGGGAGTAGATGCCTCTAAAGTCTCTTCCGGCTATAATTCTATACTTTAGGACTTCACAGACCTTTGCAGAATGAGGACTCCCATTGACCCAGCCCACAAGGCAAACAGGGTCTCACTTCCAGAAGTTGGGCAGCTCAGTCTTAGCCTTCTTTTTGCACAGAACTAGGTTCTGGGCTGGGCCAATAATTACTGTCCAAAGAAATATGTGTTTTGAAAGGAGGCATTGTTGAGGCTTAGACCAAAACACACCCTTAAGTCCTCTGGTGATTCCCATTAGAACAGCATTCCTTTCAAGAGGGCATCGGGTGGGCACATTTAGCTACTCAGAAAAGATCTCTGAGAAGAAAAACAAAACTCCCAACATTTGTTAAAAATCCTTCGGTCGTGTTTATTTCCCAAACACAGAAAATCATAACAAAAGAAATTATAAAGTAAATGAAACCATCTCCCCTCGATTCATGTTAGTGAAGTTAAACATTTATTTTCAGATTACAAAACCATCAATGACAAGCCCTCCTGTAGTGTAAAAATACATACAAGTGAGCCTCAATGCCAGGAAAATAATTCCAGGTTTTCTGGTTCTTCATGAGTTCCCAGAATATCCATTGCCATCATCAGAACTTAGAATTGGAAATCCAGTTTCTCCCATTCAAGAGCTAATCGGAATTCAAGGTGAGGCACACTCCTTGTAGCACCCAGTGTGAAATGTGCCTTGTGGTGAAGAGATCTGCTTCAAAAACTAAGCCAATTCCCATTGCATTCCTTCTCATGGATGTGGTGTAGACAGGTGTCCGGAAGGTATTCTAAAGGCCACGGAGAGGAGAAAACAGTGAGATCTCAGAGAAGATCTTGTGGGAATAAGAAATAGCCCATATGATGCCTCTAGCCCATATGGTGCCTCTAAGTTTTAAAGGGGGGATCATTCGATTGAGTGTGCAATGTGTCCATCCCACATTGAGAGGATGATGAGGTCATCAGAGGAAGCCTTTGACATTGGTATGATGATGACATGGGGATGGCTCGTCAAAAGCTAACCCAATCGAATCAGATTTCCATGAGGCCCTATTTCCATGGGTTCCCTTTAATGGCTACTCCAGAAACAAGCAGGTGAGCTGCCATCTTAAGCTTGTCATACCCAACAATCCCACCAAGAATTCCATAAGCAACTAGATTATCCTACAGGGACAGATTGTTAAAAAGCACTTCTTATCTATAAAACTTCAGTCTAAAGAAGCAAAGGAAACAAGGAACTTGTAGAAAATCCATGAGGAGGAAGAGGGCTGGGAAAGAGGACTCAGGTCTGCTCCCTTTAACCTGTAGTTTGAGACGATGGGCTTCAATGGGGATTATCTTCAGAACGGGCAGGTCCACCACCAGGACTTTGGGTTTGCTCTTAATAAGGCAGCCTCTCTCAATGTCCCAGTCAGCACCTTCTAGATACAGCCCTGACACAAAGCATCCTATAGATACCAGGAGAAAAACGAGAAGCTGAAATCCTGACAACAGATGATCCATCTTTGGTGGTTACACACACCACATACCGTCCAGAGCTAAGATCTCCCTGTGGTGCATAATCCCTGCAATGCTGTCGATGTGCCTGTCCTCTGGGTTTCTCACCCACATCCACAGGGAAAGTGACTCAACAGATATGAAGAAATTAAATAATGTAAATTAACTAAAAATCCCTCCCTTCAGGGAACCCAGGGGCCAAGGGGAGGGAGGGGAACCTCAGACTTTTCCTCCACAGATCCTTGCGAAACCATGCCGCAGCTGTCATTGGTGCCCTAAATGATCAACAATTAAATGCAGATCGTAACTGCATGATAGCATGATGGTGCGCAGATCAGCAGATCAGTTAGACCTGAGCCTTGCTGCACCCCTCCAGGAAGATACAGCATCCTTGCTCAGGAGGCCTGACCCATCTGTCTCAGGACCCATCTTGCCCAAGATTAGATCTTCCCTGGCATCAGCTCCAGCTACAAAATGCTAGAGGTGTGAGCCATGATCCTCACTGGGTGGTGTTTCTGAAAGGTTCACATCAAAGTAACAAGTGTTCATACGTTTACAACTTTTTTCGATTACTCCTTTTACTTTGAATTGGTTTAGAGATGCCCTCCACTTAGAAGAACTCTTCTCAAAGGAGCAGCTCCATTAAGTCCGATGATGATGACGATGATGATATACAAGGTGAAGAGGAATGGGCGACATTCAATAGCTCATCTAGCTTGGGAATGTGGTCAGACAGATGCAAGGTCAGGCCCCCTCGGACTGGCCATCACCCCTTCAGACTTGGTCCTGCCACTGATAACTTAAGCCAGACCCGGCCATGAGGTTCAGGCAGGAAGAGGCTGAGGGTGACAGAAGCGGCCTGCAGAGGGACTGACCCCCTGGAGTTGACCATACCTTGTCCTGCTCGTTCAGTCACCTCATCTGCATCCTGGAATTTGGTCACTTGGGTAAACAAAGTGGAGCGATCCAGGGGCCAGCCATTCTTCCGACAGGTGGCCTGAACCAGAGCTGTGAGATAGGACTCAGGGATGTGTAGCCCTGACAGCCACATCACGTTGGGGTCACTCTCTAAAATCTGGAAAGAAAGATAAAACGGTGACCCTGTCACCTTCTTCCTGCCTTACAACGCCCAGCATCAGAATGGAGCCTGAGACGCTTCTCTGCCCTCTCCCAGGGGTCAGCCCTCGGGTGGCATGCCCCAGCAGGCTTCCGCAGAGGAAGGGCTGTTCTTAAGGTGCTGCTTCTGTTGCGCAGGAAACACCATCGCCCACACCTTACCCACGTTGTGTACTGAGCAAATCTCCGCAGGAAGTACACCATCCAGTTGCCAAGGGTCTTCAAGGTGTCAGGGGCAAGTTTCCTCCAGATGCCTGGGATGTTACCAATGAAAAGGGCCCGAGCAACACCATCCAGCTCGTTGCTCATCCCGACTTCCCCAGCCAAGGCCTGTGGGCAGAGCGGACAGAGCCCAAGTGCAGGCAGCTCAGAAAACAGCCCTCGAGCCCCGACCTCGCCCGCCTCGCTCCCACCTCACCCCACTCACCCTCTGGAGTTCAGCCAGAGATTTCATCATGCGGATCGTCAGTTTGTTAAAACGCTCCAGCTCCTGCAGCAGCACCACCGTCGTGGGAGAGATGCCCAGTCCCAGGTGTTTGCGGATACTGTCCAAGTCAAACACTTTGGGCATTTTGTTTTCAATGTCCTGGGCAACCTGGGCGATGTAATCCTCCCGGCTGATGCCAGTGACAGACTCCCCTGAAACAGAAACGCTCTTGAGCGAGGTCACCGTTCATCGGGGCCTCGCCCTCGAGGCAGACTGCTGATGCCACCCGTTCTTAGGCGGAAACATCAGTGCAGTGGGGAAAGGGGAAAGAGAAGACTCATATCACCCTTAGGAGGAGAGCAGCTATTCTGAGTGGGCAAAATACCCCCGATGACAGGACTCTACCTGTCTGTGGCTGTAATTCCAACAGGTGAGACCACATGGCCCGAGCAGCTTGGGTGTAGTATCCAATCTCGGCGTTCGGATGGAGGCCAAACACCTCTGGTGTGTTGGCGAGCGGAAGTGACTCAATTGCTTCTGTAAAAGAGCATAAGCAAAAGAAACCGGGACCCCTTGTAGGGCTGAGCAGACTCCCTATGGGCTGAAGCCTTTGGAGCAAGAAAGGGACCCCAGAGACAGCAACGCTGGTTCCCATACTAGTCATATTAATAATAACAATGAGAGCTATCATTTATGTAGTGCTTTAAGGTTTGCAAAGTGCCTTACACATAATATCTCATCAGTCTGTTTTGAGGAGTGATTTACTTTTTTGGGGGGGAGGGCGGGGAGCCTGGCTCCCTGTCTCACCCAGGCTAGAAGTATAGTAGCCATTCACAAACCCAACCCCGCCAATGACTGTATAGGAGCTTTGATCTGTGCCACTTTCCACCTGGCCCAGCTGTCCCCTCCTTAGACAACGTGGCGGTCCCAGAAGCTCATCTCACTGGTTCCAGATTTGGCATGGACACGTCATCAGCTTTAGCCCCAACTCCTGTGTTCCACCAACCATGGCCTTCCCTGTCCTAGGGACTACGGGTGTGTGCCACCGCACCCAGAAGGGGTGGTTCTTTTAAACAAGGATGCCCCTGTGTTCCAGAGGTTTGTTTCTTGGGAATGTTGATGGAACTGCTCACTGATAATTCGGTCCCTTTGAAGAAAGCGGTTTATACATCATCACAAGAGAACGCAAAATGTACATCAGGGGCTAGGGCTTAGAATGGCCAGTTTGGTTTACAAAAGGAAAGTCACTGACCAAAGAAGACATCCAAGCTCACCCTCCACAAGTCCAACTAGATAAAGGATCAGGGGAATTGTTGCAGAAATGGACATCACCAAAACGTATTTTTTTTGGTCAGAATTAGCTACATTTTTCCAGTATCTGAGCAGTCTCACCTACAAAATGTTCCTTGGTTTCACCCTCTGGGATTTTATAATCTACTTCCTTATTCCGGAAGAAGTGGAATGGCTGGAAGGTGTCAAAGATGAAATCCCCTAGATACTCGTCCATGTAGATGGTCAGGATGCGCCGGTCAAAGCTATCGATAGCCCGGCCTCCATACATGACCTAGACACAAGGCAGAATCCACCTGAGTGCCCAGCAGGGGACCGCTGACTGGACTGGCCTCACAGGTAGGAAGGGATGGGGACTGGGCCTGGGATTTCACTCCCAGAGGGAGCTCCTGACAAGGAAACACTCTTCACAAAGGCAGAGAATTCTTGGGAACATGGAGAAGCTGAGTGATTCACTTGGGTGACCTGCACACAGCCAGAAAGGGACAGAGGTGAGACCTGACCAGGGTCTTCTCGATCCGGCAGCCAGCTCTCTGTCCTCTAGACCACCCATCTGTGTACAGAACAGGCATGATTTTCAAAGTTACATTGTAACTTAGTTTTCTGACTTCCGGCAAGAGGGGACCCCAAGCACCTTTTAAATGATGATCATTAACCTAACGATGGTTGGGGGGAGGGGATTTTGTAGATTTTGTAGATTTTGGATCCAAACAAATACCCGTAACAATGCCTGAACTTCTGAGGAATGGGAACCTGGAGGAAGCCTTTGAAAGGTCCATCCATGCCAAATGGCCTCAGCCGTGTGGCACAGAGGAGCAGAGAAGGGCTGGGTAGGCATGGCTTAGGCATCCTGGCCATGAGGAAGAATCAAGTCTGATTCACTAGCGTTTTCAGTGGGCTATAATCTCCAGAGCCCTTCATCAGGCTGTTTAATAGGAGTGATTTCAGGGAGCCCCCGTTTGGGTCTCTGCTTGAAACAGGAATCCACAGGATAAAGGAGAGAGAGGGTGATGAGAAGCCAGGCTGCTGCTCATACACATGCCTCCGCTTTGGCCCCAGCAGACATTCAGGAGGGACGCCCTCCAACATCGGGCCCCACCAAGGCCCCCTTCTTGCCCTTCGTCCTCCGACCCTGGAGGCATTTTTGTGGAAGGCTAGGCTTACCTCTCCAATGAGATACTTGAGACTCCCCCAAGGGATTTTGCTGTCATTTTGTTGGAAGGCTTTTGTCAAGTACGTGTTCAAGATCTCCATGCAGACCTAGCCACGGAAGTCAAGGTGTGTAAAGACCAAGGGAGGCCTTGCTTCCCACAACCCACCCACCCTTACTCTTTAGACCCTGGAAATAGACCCCCCGCCCCATTCAATCCTGAAGGTGCCACAGTATCAAAACAAGTGCCCGGGGAGGAAGAGGCATGGCGGCATCAGCAGCACTGTTTTCAACCTGGAAATCGGACTCATTGAAGTCATAGGACACGTTCCAGCCGATCTTGCCAAACTTTCTTCTCTCCTGCACGACTGCATGGAAGAAGGCCAGCACGTAGATCAGGGACTTGTAGGCAGGATGAGGACACTGATTCAGCATCTCGTGGGGGATCTTGAAGTAGGTCGCCCGCATGTTCAACTTCAGGCCGTTGGGTGGCTCAGTGACCACCTTCAGAGAGGAGGAAAGAAGACGGGCTGAGTGCATCAGCTCCGCTGTGCATGGGAGGCCGTGAGTTTCTGCTTCTCCTCCCACACTCCTGGTCCCCTAGCCAAGGATGCACATTGTGATCCTAGCGGTACAAGATCTAGGTTTCTGTTCTGGCTTTTCCACTGACTCAGCGTGGCCCCTGAAGAAGCCCCTGAAGCTCTCTCATTGCTGGGTTCTTAGCCTATCAAGTGGAGGGAATAAAATCTCTACACCAACCCTGCAGTGGGGCGGGGGTATGCATTTAAAAAAAAAAAACTTCTAAAATAATGCCTGTGATAATCAATGAACAATGTGGGTCGACTACTCTGAACTGATGGGAGTGCGGGTGAGGTGGAGAAGCCTCTGGTAAAAATGAAGTCTGACTATTGCTGCTGTCTCTGGGCCCACTCTTGGACCATGGGCAGGTCCATGGGCAGGTAGAAGGCATGGTCTGTGCTCTGGCTTCTTCTAAAGGACATATGAAGGCCAGTTGTGCATGTCCATTATCAAGGGACCAGAGCACAGGTCCCCACCCGACCCCAGCCACATACATGCTCCATGGATTGGCCTCCACTACTCCACAGACACCCCATGCATGCCTGCACTTCTAAAAGAGGAGGAAGAGACACAATTTCTCATCTCTATATCCACACGCAGTATGATAGCTTCATCCCGCTAACAGTATTTGACCATTCAAAAAGACTTTTCTCCCAAGGTGCCAGCCATGTCCCATGCATGCAAAAAGCTAAAAAAGATTCCTTGGTATGATTTCCTCCAGCCCATTCATTTCTTTTTTTTTTTTTTTTGCTTTTTGGGGAGGTAATCGGGGTTAAGTTACTTGCCCAGGGTCACACACAGCCCATTTATTTTACAGAGGAAAACACTAACATCCAGAGAGGAAGAGTAACTTCCCTAAAGTCACAGCCTGAGCCGGTAGAAAGATTCAGAATTCAAACTTCTTCTCGCACCATCCCCCTGCCCCACCCCCAAACCAAGATTCTCCTTCAACAAGGACTGAAGATGGCAGAGCAGGTCTCCATTCTCCCTGCTAAGCCATCTCTCCAGGCGGTCCCCTCCCAGACAGTCCTGGGCCTCCAGTAATAAGGACAGACGGATGGACAGACTCATGGCCGGTTCTGTCTCCCAGTCCCGTACCTTTAAGGATTTCTGCAGGATCCCGATGGGAAAGCCTTTAGTGGGGTCAGTGGTGAGCCACAGGCGGAAGTCTGGGTGGGGCTTTGTGATTCTCTCCAGAGACTTCTCCAGGTCCTTAAGCCATTTGACAAGAAGGTGGCAGTTCTGCAGCATCAGCCACTGACCCCGGGCCACAGCAGTCCCCAGCAGATGCAATGCCACCTGTGCCAATCACAGCAGAAAGGTTATGAGCTGGTGCCTCTGAGCAGAAGCCCAGCCCTGTCCTTTCACAGAAGAGTGGCCTCGGGAGATGAAGTGACTTAGTCACACAGCTGGTAAGGGTCAGAGGCAGGGTTTAAAAATCATGACTCTATAAGCATGGTGGGAGAGGCAGCCTGGCCCCTGGATTCAGGTCCTACCCTGTCATATTCCAGTGGTATAACCCGAGGTGAATCACCAAACCTCTCCCTCCCCAGCCTCAGCTCCCTAAAACTATTCATTATGGAGGAGTCCCTGCTCTGGGGTGGTGGATGGTGCTTTCACAGCAGAAGCTCTTCACACCACTAAAATCACGGGTCTGAACCAAAACCCCATACTCTACCTTGAATCTATCGCACCCAGGCCTTGACCCAGCAGAAGTCCAGACAATACTTGTCCCAGGGACTCATTCCAACCTCAGCATGTGATCATGGGGAGGGTTGACTTTTCTACACAGAACAGCAGTAAGCCAACAGCAGCTTGCAGATGCTCATGGGGCAGACACACAGCTACGCCCAGGGCCAATCCAGGTGGACTTCAGACAACTCCACATTGTTTAGAATATTTCAAGCGTAACAACTCTGCTCCATGGTGACCATGCTGAGGGTGCAGACCCTACATTCTGTTGCGAGAAGCACGGAATATTCATTCTATTAATCATAATAATCTTCCTCAATGTTAAAAAAAATCAAATTTCCAAAAGCAATGGCCTCTCCTTTGTCACAGTGATTTGAGAGGACGACTGGCAGATCACATTGTGCTGGGCTTTGATTTCATGGGCTTATGTTTCCTTGGTCATAATTCGACCCTCAGTATAGCTGAATCTATGTAATAAAAGGGAGCTCAAGACAGAAATGCAACTCATTTTCAGGAAAGGATCTGTAGGGAAAATTGTCCTTGGCTTAAAGCATGAAGGTAAATACCAACATACAAAAGCTACCTCAACTTCCCAGATAGCAAGACCACCCTTACAAAGACATACAGACACACACACACACACACACACCACACACACACACACGCGCGCGCGCACACACCACACACACACACACACACACACACACAGACTGTAGTTTAGGAACTGAACTTCACCAGAACAAATTACCTTCTCTTGGCCTTGACCCATTGCAAGGAATTTGAGACGATTTCCTCCAAAGCCACATCTATCAGCTAATTTCATCAGATCACTGGCAGGGTCTGAGCCAGGACTCAGAATGAATACAATGGGTGAACTTGGAGTGCTCTGTTCAAAAATGGCTTCAAAGCTGATCATTGGGGGTTGAACATACCTAGGCAGGAGAAAGAGCCCAGATATGGTTTCTTCACTTGCTCATAGAATTATTCTCCTCTCTTTGGGGAGGAAATTTAATTAGCGGATGATCCTTGAAGTTGGGAACATGAATTCAATGTCAATGGCTTTCTCCACATTCATCAACTACAGGTGGGAAAGGAAGCTAGAGATCTCCAGATTCAAAGTCTAGTCAGCACTGCCCATGATCTGTCAGGCAGACAGAGATTCAATAGGGAAAAAATGTAAATGTGAAGGAAGACACTAATATAAAACCAGACAATCCAGATCACTGGGAATTCGATCACAAATCTGGGGGTCCATCATCACGAAGAACACCACTATCCCTTTTTATGGGATGTTCATAGACTAGCATGTGCATGGAAAGCCTTTAACAAAATCCTCCTCTAATACCCATCATGGTGGGGTCATGACCTGGGTCATTGGAGGCTCTGCTTGGGTGATACAAACACCAGCAAGTGCTGCCAAGCTGAGAAGACTTTGTGTGCCCCCCAAGTGACCAATAATATCTCTGTGATCCAAGGCCCAACAGGGCCAAAAGGATGGCCCCCAGAAATTCTTGAAAACTATCTATGTAGGGGCAGCTAGGGGGCACAGCGGATAGAGCACTGGCCTGGATTCAGGAGGACTTGAGTTCAAATCCAGCCTCAGACACATAACACTTGCTAGCTGTGTGACCCTGGGCAAGTCACTTAACCCCATTGCCTAACTAAAAAAAAAAACTATCAATGAAGTCATGTAAGGGCTGCAACGGACCCTGGTAAAACAAGCATCCACCGACTTTCTGCCTGACCTCTCACCTCTCCCCACTCCAGCCTGTCCTCCACACAGCTTCCAAAGTCACATGCCTAAAAGCACAGGGACGCATTGCTATCTTGCTCAAGAAGTTCCAGGGCTCCCTATTGTCTCCAGGGTGAAATACAGTCTTCTGTTTGGCATTTAAAGCCCTTCACAATCTGACGCCAGCCTTTTTACTTATGACTTTCTCCGTTTAACACTAGTCATTATTCTCATCAGCTTCCATGGATTTAATTACCACGTCCGTGCTGATGATTCTCAGATCTACCTTTCCTGCCCCAACCTCTCTGCTGACCTCCAGTCTCACATCTCCAACTGCCTTTCAGACATCCTGAACTGGAAGTCCAGGAGACATTGTAAACGCAACATGTCCAAACAGAACTCATTAGCTTTCTCCCTAAACCCTCTACCTTCCCTGTTACTACAAAGGGTCCAGGATCCTCCCAGTCCCTCAGGCTCACAACCTAAGAGTCATCCTGAATTCTCCACCATCTCTCATCCCACCCCCAGATCCAAGCTATTGCTGAGACCTGTGGATTTCACCTTTGCAGCATCTCTCAAATATGCCCCCTTCTCTCCTCGGCCACTGCTCCCACCCCGGTGCAGACCCTCATCACCTCACACCTGGACTATCCAATGGCTGCTGGGGTCTGCCTGCCTCAGACCTCTCCCCACTCCAATCCATCCTCCATTCAGCCGCTAAAGTGACTTTCCTAGAACACAGGTTTCACCATGTCACCCCCATCCTCAATAAACCGCGGTGGCTCCCTCTTACCTCTAGGATCAAAGACAAAATGCTGTTTGCTGTTCAAGGCCCTTCATAGCCTGCCCCTCCTTACCTTTCCAGTCTTCTTACGCCTCATTTCCTGTCATGTACTCTGTGGCCTCCTGGCTGTTCCTCGAACAATCCAAGCGTTTTCTCAAGGTCTCCCCCCGGCCTGCAATGCTCTCTCCCTTCAACTCTTCCTACTGACCTTCTGGGCTTCCTTCAAGTCCCCACTAAAATCCCGTTTTCTGCAGGAAGCTTTTCCCGGTCTCTCTCACTTCTAGCCGTCCCTCACCTCAGCATTTCCTGCTTCACTTCTCCAGTTATTTATCCTGTCCGCAGCTTGTTCGTACATATTTGTTTGCTTATTGTCTCCCCCATCAGACTGGAATCTTCTTGAGGGCAGGAACTGCCCTTTGCTTCTTTTTATGTCCCAAGCGCTTTGAGTCCTCCCTCTCAGGACTACCTTGGATTCACTTCCCATTCCTTGTGTACGTGTTGTTTAGCCCAACAGATTGTAACCTCCTGTGGGGTAGAGGCTGTCCCTTTTGTCTCTCTTACCCTCCCCACCCCCCAGCACAGGGCCTGGCATATAGGCAATGCCTAACGAATACTGATTGATTATGTCAGGATGATCACTTTTGTAGCTGTGCAGAGGATGGGTTAGGAAGCTAGAAAATGGAGGGAGACCAATGAAGGAATTACTCACAGACTAGTTGAGACAAGAGGTGGAGACCTTCAAACAATCATTTTCCAGGGACTTGACAAGGATTCCTACTATAAGTATGAGTCAGAGACTAGGTGATATCTGATGTCTATTCCAATTCTTTTTTTTGGGGGGGTAGGGGCTAGACAATGGGGTTAAGTGACTTGCCCAGGGTCACACAGCTAGTAAGTGTCAAGTGTCTGAGGCTGGATTTGAACTCTGGTCCTCCTGGCTCCAGGGCCGGTGCTCTATCCACTGCGCCACCTAGCTGCCCCTGCTCCAACTCTTAAAGAATGGGGTGGGGGTACTGAGAGGTTAAGGGATTTTCCCAGGGTCCCATGGCCAGGATGGGTCAGAGGCAGGATTAGATTCTGCCTCCCTAAGTATGACACCAGTTAGCTCTCTGGCTGTTATGAATTTTCATAGGCTTTCAGATCAGGCACCTCATCTGTCTCATTTGATGACCAATTCGAATGCAGCTTCCTGACACTCTTGGCGTATTTTTACTGAGGTGGACAGTGCATATGTGATATGTGTATCTTCTTTACAGTGAGTGCAGAGATCCCAAAGCTTTCTCCATCATTACAAAACTCTTCCTGAAAGTCCCAGGGAAGACGACATAGGCCACAGACAGGGCTAAGCAAAAACCTCTTACTTACTTCTCCCCCATGGTCACAGTCACATAGTCAGTAACTGCCCGATATACCCGGTCCACTCGGAAACATCGCAGAATAAGCAGCTTCTCGAAATCGGTCACACGGCTGTCATAGCCCAGGGGGAATGGAAACTGTTCCAGTGAATCTAGGTCATACCACTGGGACAAAAGATGGCAGAGTTGATCAGATCAGAAAGGATATGGACCCAGCTGTCAGGGGACAGTCTCTGCTTTCCATCTCATCTCCCAGCCAACCAGTTTAAAGCCTAGCTCGACAAGGACAATTTGATTTAGCTATGCTTATGGATTTCCAGCTTATAAAGAGGTATCAGTAGGGGAATGGGGATGAAATGCAGAGATACAGTCCATTACTTACCAACCCAAAAGAGTATGCTGGTCTAGAAAGGCCTAAACCTTGAAAGTTTAGATTCTTAACTTTTCTTGTATCATGGACCCCCCCTTTGGCATTCAGTCTGGGGCAACCTACAGGTCTCAGAATCATGTTTTTAAATGCATAAAATAAAACAGTTAGAATCACAACCTATCAGTTAGGAAACAAATGATACTGAAATGCAGTTAACAAAAAAAGATTTTTTTTTTAAATAAAGTTTGTGGACCTCAGGTTAGGAATTGCCGGCTTCAACCCAAGTTATAGTTTGGTGATTGGAAGGCAATTAGGAGATGTGAACATGTGCAGACACAGTCACATCGCTCACCTCCTTCCAGACGTGGCTCTGCTTCTCTACGTCGTCAGGAAGTCTCCCAAAGGGGTCTGGAAATAGCTCAGATAAAAGCATAATGTCTTCCCAGCCCTGATCAGCCAGCCACGTACAAGGCTTTTTTCGTTTGTTCTTCTCCAGGGAAATGTTTCCTGTTCACAGCAAGGGAAGACAAGGAAGCCTTACGGCCTGCGGTGGACACCAAGAAGACACACAATCCCGAGCACAAAGGGACACAGGAATCGAAAGAGAATGGTCACGGCTTCTCTCAAATGAGTCCAATCAGTCAAACTCATCACCCTGATGTGACGGCTCACTGTAAAATCAGCACAGCTACAAAGTGAGAGGCCGAGTTGTAAATCTATCCAATTTGATTTAGGTTTTCAGTAGCCTTTTTTTAACATCTTCAATATAGATTAGGAAAGTTGGGGGAGAAATGTGACATTGTGCAAACTCATTTCATTACCTTTCAAAAAAAAATCCAGCTCTTCCTGAGGGACTCTGCCATCCACTTGCTCTATCTTGATGGTCATATTAAAAGAAAAGAGCAGCTTGTGTCTTTCAAATAGCCCTGTGGTGAAAACACCAGGGAAGACTGAGGAAGCATCCACTCCAATCCAGTCGGTCGGTCAGCCCCTCACAAAAGGGCCCCTCCACCCCTGCCGCTGTCCAGCTATCATGGCCGGCTTGCCCTTCCAACAGGGCACGCCACACCTCCCCTCACTCCTCCCCTCCTCTTCCAGGCTCCCCTGGCTTCTTTCAAGACTCAACTCTCATTCCCATCTTCTGCAGGAGGCCCTTCCTGGTCCACCTAGCTGATAGCACCTTCCCCTTTGAATCACCTTCCACCCATTCTGTATGTGGCTGGCATGGACCTAGCTAATTACATGGCACCCCACCCCATTAGGACAGGAGCTCCTTGAAGGAAGGGGACCGTGGCTGTTAGTCGCTGTTGTTGTTTGGGGGTTCTTTTGCCTTTATATGTATCACCAGTGCTTAGTACAGTCATCTAGGGCTATTTTAAATTGAATGGGGAGTGGGAGAAGGAAGGGGAAAAATAAATGCTTGTTAATTGAAAAATAAAAATTTTTAAAGGAAAAAATGTAATTTCAGTTAAACCATACTTCCTTTTTTGATCGGGTTTCTAGATTGGGCATAGAAGTATCTCATGTTTTTAGATAAAACAAAAAAGATGCAAGTTAAATGATAGAAGAGTTAGAAGGATTTGGAACAGATTGAATGACAGAACACCACTTAAGGGATTGCTATCATTTTGAAGGGCATTTTAGAGGGGAATGTTCCAGGGATTTATCCTTGGCCCTGGGCTGCTAAACCTTTTTATAAGTGACTTGAATGAAGGCATAAATGGTATTCTTATCAAATTAGCAGATAACATGAAGCTGAGAAGGACGACTAACACACTGAATGCCAAAATACAGATAGAAAAAAAAATGGGCTGAAACAACAAAGAAAATCAGAACTGAATGCTATGCAATTATAATGAATAAATTTGATCCTGAAGAAGAGAAAGGATATGAAAATGCACTTCCCTTCTTTGTAGAGGTGGAAGACCAGAGGTTTGGAATACTGTATATGCTGCCAGATGTGGTTGAGGTATTGTTTAGTTTCGCTAAACTGCTTTTCCCCCGTCCTTTTTACTCTTTCCTATAGGGCAGGGCTTCTTAAACTTTTTCCACTCACAACCCCTTCAGCACTTCTTAAACTGTGGGTCATGACACCACAGTTTAAGAACCACTGCTAGGGTATAGCATTCTGGGTAGGGGTGGAAGGAACGATATTTTGGGAAATGAAAGTCAGGTAGAAACAAAAGCTATCAATAAAAGTTTTTAAAAGAAAAGAATGTCTGGTGAAATGGAATTTAACAGAATAAATGTAAAGTCCCATACTTGGATTCAAAAAATCAATTGCACAAATACAGAATGAGGGAAAGTATGACTAGATAATAGTTCTTGTGAAAAAGTACTGGGGACAAGGGGCAGCTAGGTGGTGCTATGGATAGAGCTCTGGCCTTGGAGTCAGGAGAAACTGAGTTCAAATCAGACCTCAGACACTTGACACTTACTAGTTGTGTGACCTTGGGCAAGTCACTTAACCCCGTGATTGCCTCACCAAAAGGCAGAAAAATGTATTGGGGACAGTAAGTGTTATATAAAGCAACAGCAAAATGTGACGACCAAAAAAAAAATACAATCTTCATTGCATTATGGGAGGACATGTCCAGAACAGGGAAAATGACAGTACTACTATAATTTACTCTTGTTAGACTAGAACTAGAATAAGAGAGGGATGGTGGCATATATCCAGAGGAGGGTGACTAAGACAGTGACAGACCTGGATATGCTATACCAAGATACCATTCTATAAAAGGAAAGGGAGAATGGTATAGTCAAGAATGCTGGACTTAAGTCATGAGACATGGGTTCAGAGCACAGCTCGAGCCCTGGGGAAATCCTCATATCTAAGCCTCAGTTTCCTCAACTGTAAAATGGTGGTGATAATATCTGTACCACTTCCTTCATAGGATAGATGTGAGGAAAATATTTTGTAAACTTACACTATAGAAGCAATACAGAAAAATTGATTATTATGCAAGCTGTCTTTAAGGACAGAGAGAGAGGAGAGAAAGAAGATTGAGAAAGAGAGAGGAGAGGAGAGGAGAGAGAAAAGAGAGAGGAAAGAAGAGAGAGGAAAGAAGAGAGAGAAAGAGAGAGGACAGAAGAGAGAAAGAAGAGAGAGGAGAGAAAGAACAGAGAGAAAGAGAGGAGAGAGAAAAGAGAGAGAGAGGAAAGAGAGGAGAGGAGAGAAGAAAGAGAGAGAAAAGACAGAAGAGAGAAAGAGAGAGGAGAAAGAGACAGAGGAGAGACAGAAATACAGAGACAGAGAAACACAGAGACAGAGAAATACAGAGACCAAGAGAGACAGAGAAAGAGAGACAGAGAAAGAGAGACGGAGAGAGAGAGAGAGAGAGAGAGAGAGAGAGAGAGAGAGAGAGAGAGAGAGAGAGAGAGAGGAAAGAGTGAGATTTCTGCTTGAAATAAAAACCAGTTTGCTAACAATTAGAGCTCTATAAAACTCCAATTCCCTGCCTCAAAAGGAAGCAGGCTCCTCTCCTTGTAGACACTAGATGAACATGTTGTGTGGATATTCTCATTCAGGTAAAGGATGGACTACGTGGTCTCAGGTCCCTTCCAACTCGGAGATTCTGTCATTCTGACATTTTAATGAACCTTTCTTCTTATAACCTGAATTATCAACCACAATCTCTGTAAATACAAATTTTCATAGGTTTCCCTAAAGGCAGGGATTGCATGTATTATACTTAAATTACTACAACTGGTGTGACTGACATAACCCCCTTGAATTCAATAATTATTACTGCAATGCCCACAAAACGAAGGACGCGTGTTCATCTGGCTAGAGAGTCATGCCAACCTGTGCAGCCATAGTTGTAGATGTTGAAAGTTAGAGTGTCCATGATGTTTTTTAACCTCCTTGAAAGATAAGAATCAGGCAAAGATTTCTTAAGTGAGAAAGTGAAGACCTCTAAGAAGGCGGACAACGAATACTGATACATGGTGTTCACCAGTGCCATTTCTGATAAAACAAAGAACAAGATGGCGCCCCTCTTGGCAGCAGGCCGGTAGCCATCACGCAGTCGGTCAATGTCCACTGCTGTCTTTTCAGCCAATTTGAGTTTCTCCGATACCTAAAGGAAAGGTCTGCTTCAGAACATGTTTGTTTGTTTTCATATAAAGGAAACCTGTAAAATCATGAAGGTGCCATTTTGTGATGGGCTGAAAAATTAGAAGGAAAGAAAAGAAAGACACGAGTCTGATGCCTACAAGTAACTGAAAGAAATCTGCCGGGCGATGAGACCCAGAGGGCTGGGTCACCCTGCTAAGGGGGCTCCCAAAGTCCTAATCTGCCAGCAGCTTTGGTCTCTGGCCCCAGCTCCAAGGACGGCATCTCCCCCGCATTAGCTGCCTCTTCCTCATGCCCCAGGTCTCCCCGACTCCACACCCATCCCTCTCTCCCCTATGTGTAATGGCGACCCCAGAGGAGCAGCCTTGCGCGAGGCACACACGCGGGCAGAGCCTTCCTCCGCCCCACGCAGGGCAGGTAGTGATGCCACAGGCATGGCCAACGTGTGTGGGAGGAGCTGCTCTTACCTCGGTGGCTTTTGTCTTTGTCTCCTCGAGTGTCTGCACCAAGTCCACGTTGTCCAACATGTTGCCTGTGGACGTGGCCAGCTCTCGGAGGAGGGAGTCCTCCAGGTCTTTCAGCAGGTTTTTGTTCTCACTGGTCTCCTGGATGAGGTGCTCCCTCTGCTCCTCCAGCTCTCTTCTCTCATAGGCCACGATGACGCTGAGCAGCTGGTCCTCAAGGCCTTTTAATGTGACTGTGGACAGGATGCAGAGACTGGCCTTATTTTCAGGACTTTGCAAATACACAGTGCTTTCTGATTTTTTATTTGTCCTTGTGTCATCACAGAGCACAAGTCAGTCAGTGCACAGAGCCAAAAGCTCAGCACAGGCACTGCGCTTGAGGAGCTCGTGGTCTATTGGCGAATAGAACGTGAAGATGCAAAAGTAAATGATAATTGCAAAGATCAGGGAGAGCTTCCCCTAGGAAGGAGATGGCCCATTAACTTTAGCCCTGAAGGAAGAAAAGGTTCTATGACATAGCGGTGAGGAGAGAGAGCATTCCAGGCCCTGGGGGACAGTGTTTGCATGAGAGAGGGAGAGGAGAGAGGAGAGAAAGTGAGAAAGGAGAGAAGAGAGGAGAGAGAGAGAGACAGAGACAGAGAGACAGAAAGAGGAGAGAGAGAGAGAGAGAGAGAGAGAGAGAGAGAGAGAGAGAGAGAGAGAGAGACAGAGACAGAGAGAGGAGAGAGAGGAGAGAGAGACAGAGACAGAGAGAGAGACAGAGAGAGAGAGAGAGAGAGAGAGAGAGAGAGAGAGAGAGAGGAGAGAAAGTGAGAAAGGAGAGAAGAGAGGGAGAGGGAGAGAGAGAGAGAGAGAGAGAGAGAGAGAGAGAGAGACAGAGACAGAGACAGAGACAGAGAGAGGAGAGAGAGAGGAGAGAGGAGAGAGAGACAGAGACAGAGAGAGAGAGAGACAGAGAGACAGAGAGAGAGGAGAGAGAGAGAGAGAAAGTGAGAAAGGAGAGAAGAGAGGAGAGAGAGAGAGACAGAGAGAGAGACAGAGACAGAGACAGAGAAGAGAAGAGAGAGGAGAGAGGAGAGAGAGAGAGAGAGAGAGAGAAGAGAGAGAGAGGAGAGAGGAGAGAGGAGAGAGGAGAGAAAGAGAGACAGAGAGAAAGAGGGAGAGAGAGAGAGAGAGACAGAGAGAGAAGAGAAGAGAAGAGGAGAGAGAGGAGAGGAGAGAGAGGAGAGGAGAGGAGAGGAGAGGAGAGGAGAGAGAGGAGAGGAAGGAGGAGGAGAGGAGGAGAGGAGAGGAGAGAGAGGAGGAGGAGAGGGGAGGAGAGGGGAGGAGAGGAGAGGGAGGAAGGGGAGGGAGGGGAGGAGAGGGGAGGAGAGAGAGGAGAGGAGAGGAGAGGGGAGGAGGGGAGGAGAGGGGAGGAGAGGGGAGGAGAGGGGAGGAGAGGGGAGGAGAAGGGAGGAGAGGGGAGGAGAGGGGAGGGAGGGAGGAGGGGAGGGAGGGGAGGGGAGGGGAGGGAGGGGAGGGGGAGGGGAGGGGAGGGGAGGGGAGGGGAGGGAGGGGAGGGGAGGGAGGAGGGGGGAGGGGAGAAGAGAAGAGAGGAGAGAAGAGAAGAGAGGAGAGAAGAGAGGAGAGGAGAGAGAGAAGAAACGGGATCCTGAGTTCAGCAAGTAGTAAAAGGCTACTTTGGCTGGAGCAGGGACTGTGTGAAGGGGAACACCATGAATATGTGGAAGGGAAGAGGAGCAATGGGAGATTATCTCGTATTCACTGATCTCTGCAAATGTTGCAGCTCCTAAGTGGAATGTAAACTCCTTCAGAAAAACTGGCCACTTCGCCTTCACATCTCCAGTGCCCACTGCAGGGTCTTGCACACAGTAAATGCTTATTGCTTGTTGTTTGTCCTTTCCTCTCGGAGAAGACCAGTGACATCAGGAAGGTGATGTCATGACTTACACGTGGATTGGATTGAAGTGAGGCAGGGCTGCGCAGAGTCACCAGCCTCACTCTCTCCTCTGCAGCCCTCTGGTCCAGTGGCCAGACATAGATCAGGAGAACTGGAGATGGCCCTGGATGCTGTGGGAAACCTGGCCTTTTTAAGCTAACATCTTTCCCAGGTCTCAGTTTGTCTGAGGCAACACCCATTCAGTGATTAAGGCTAGGTAAGAAATGAAGCAAAGAATGGCCTCTTTTACCTATTAAAAAAAATTCAGTCTGGGAGGGGGAGACCCTCAGGGTTTCTGGCCAAAACAGAAATAATTGCTATTTACGTTCACGCTGAGCCATCAGAACCCAAACCATGCCTTGCACATGGTAGATGCTTATAAATGCTTACTGGATAGATGAATAAAAAGTAAGCTACATTCAGATTGTGAAGGACCTTAAAAGCTGTACTTCATCCTAGACTGGGGGGCCACTGAGTATTCTCTTTACTTTTTTTTTTTTAGGCAATTGGGGTTAAGTGACTTGCCCAGGGTCACACAGCTAGTAAGTGTCAAGTGTTTGGTCTGCGGCTGGATTTGAATTCAGGTCTTCCTGACTTCAGGGCCGGTGCTCCATCCACTGCGCCACCTAGCTGCCCCAGCCACTGAGTATTCTCAAACAAGGGAATGACATTGTTAGAAAGATGCTATAGAAGTGTTAGCTATTATTATTATTAAAAACGGAATTCTGCAACCATAGTGGAGGATTTAGCTTTAAATCTAATGATTCTCTGGGCGGACTCTATAGTCACAGCTTCTCGAACAGATAGAGCACTAGGCTCTGGGTTCAAATCCTGACTCTGACACTAACTGTGTGGCTCCCAGAAATTCAATTCACCTCTCTAGGCCTCAGTTTCCTCAACTCTAAAATCAAGGGGTTGGACTGGATGGCTTGTGAGGCCTCTGACCCAATGATTCAAAACAAGGGTTGTGTCCATTCTCACCAGTGTAGTTGATCACCATGGCTTTTCCAAACACGGATGGAGAATATTTGGGATTGGCCAGCTTGGTGTTCAGGTAGAGTTTGAAATTCACATCATAATCCACTTCTTTGTCCCCCAGTATGATAAACTGTCGTCCTTGAACGTTTTTCACATTTTTTTCCAATACGTTATCAATCACTGGATCAATATATTCATCCACATCTTGGAATAAGAAAGGGGTGCCGTACTTTATGGACATTTCCAGCTGTTTGAGGAAATCGGGGTCATTAAAAGAAGCAACCTGAAAAAAGACCATAACAAATGGAAAGTGAATACACCCTCACCAACAGAGGGGGAGCTGAGACTCAGCCTTTTTTTGTGTCCCGGACCCCATTGGCAGTCAATCTGGTTAGACCTCTGGAGCTTTTCTCACGACAATGTTCTCAAATGGATATAACAAAATGCATAGGATCGCAAAGGAACTAATTATAGTGAAATACAATTCAGTTATCAAAATATTTTTAATAACCAAGTTCTTAAACCCCGGATTAAGAGCCACGGAGTAGAAGAATGTGGTGCCAGTAAAGGCTGCCTTTGAAATGGACAGCAGAAGTGCTAGAAGACAAAAGAGGGCAGAGATTGGAACAAGGAAATGTGTAAAAGAGAAGAAAGTGTGTGTATGTGTGTGTGTGTGTGTGTGTGTGTGAGTATGTCTCTCTGTGTGTCTACATGTCTCTGTGTGTATCTGTATCTCTGTGTATCTGTGTGTCCATGTGTCTGTGTGACTGTATCTGGATGTGTCCATACATGTTTGTGAGTTTATGTGTGTCCATGTGCCTGTGTGTGCTCATATGTGTCTGTTTTGTCCTGTGTGTCTGTGTATGTCTTTGCATGTCTGTGTGTCCGTGTATATGTCTGCATGTGTGTCTGTGTGTGTCTGGGTATGTATCTCTGTGTGTTCATGTGTCTGTGTTTATCTGTGTCTGTGTATGTCTATCTGTGTCTTTGAGTGGCTATGTATGTGTCCATGTGTATGTCTGGAAGCCCATATGTATGTCCATGTCTGTATCTGTGTATTCATGTATCTGTGTTTATCTATGTATCTATGTCTGTGTGTCTTTGAGTGTCTGCATATGTATCCATGAGTATGTCTGCATGTCCACACGTGTGTCCATGAGTGTCTGTGTGTGCATGTGGGCGGGTCCCCACTTGGGTATGAAGCCCGGGAGGGAAGTGCTAGCCGGAAAGGAAGAAGCTGTGGTCACTCACTCCACATATGCTCTTTGAGCGGGGAGCTGGCAGCGTCACAGCACCAGAGCAGAAGGGCCCTTGAAGGCCATCTCATCCACCATGATGCCTGCCAGAGAATCCTCTCTACTCTAGCCCCAACAAGAGGTCAAGCAGCCTTCCCACTGAGGGGAAGCCCTCTGACCCCCAGAAAAGCCCCCTTCACTTTTGTGTAGCCCTGATGATCTGACAATTTCGTTTCCCTACATCAAGCCCAACGCTGCCTCTCTACACTTTCCACCCCTTGGCCCACACTTGGCTCTTGAAGCCAAGAGGACCAAGTTTAATCGCTCTTCCATATTGGAATTTAGCTCTGATATCCTCCCATAAAGCAAAACATTGATATCTCGTTCTACGTATCCTTAAATTGCATGAGCTCAAGGCCCTGAATTACCTTGGTCACGCTCCTTTCTAAAACATGGCATCCATGATTGAACGTGATCCCCCAGACACAGCCTGACCAGGGCAGAAGACAATGGAACTGTGACTTCTCCCATTGCGTTTTTGGGTGCAATGTCACACTGTTACCTCCTTTTGAGCCAGGAGGAGAGGAGAGCAATCTATACTTCTTTATTTTGAGGGACCTCCTGATGTGGAAATCCCTCCACCAATGCAGACTGGCAACTTCTCTGCAATTTATAGTCTTTGAAAGTCGTCTGGGCTCTGAGAGGTTAACTTACTTGCCCAAGGGCACACAGTCAGGATGTATCCATAGTGCAGAAAGTCCACTAAATTCCCCACATCATTCACAAAACCTGAGCCTTCTGAAAGACACACCTTCTCCATCTTGCTCTTGTGGAATTGATCTTTTGAACCAAAGTGTAAAACTTTACATTTATTCTCATTCAAATCCTGCCTCAGAAACTTATGAGCTATGTGACCCTGGCCAAGTCACTCGATCTCTGTTTGCCTCCGTTTCCTCATCTATAAAATATGACTAACAATAACACCTGCCTTCCAGGGTTGTTTCATCTGAGGATCAAATGGATAACAGTTGTAAAATACTTTGTAATAGTAAGTGTAAAAGTAAAATAGTAAAGTGCTTTGTAATAGTAAAGTGTAAAGGTAAAATAATAAAGTGCTTTGTAATAGTAAAGTAAAATAGTAAAGTGTAAAGGTAAAATAATAAAGTGCTTTATAATAGTAAAGTAAAACAGTAAAATGTAAAAGTAAAATAATAAAGTGCTTTGTAATAGTAAAGTAAAACAGTAAAGTGTAAAAGTAAAATAATAAAGTGCTTTGTAATAGTAAAGTAAAATAGTAAAATGCCTTGCAAACTTTAAAGAGCCATATAAATGCTAGCTATTATTATTGTTATTATTATTATTATTAGCTTTGGCCCAACACTCTAGCCTATTGACATCTTTCTGGATTCTGAATGTCATCTAACTCACTAGCTTTTTCTGCATCATCTCTGTATCATCCACAAATTTGAAAAGCGCGCCATTTATTCAAGCCACTGATTGTTTAAAATGTTAAAAGGATATGGGGCTGACCACCAAATTCCAACTTCCCATCCCAAGGTTTTTTCTGTCAGTACTTGAGCAAGGACTGTCAAATTCAAAATCATTTCCCAGCGGGTAGGGTCAGAGGAGTCACTGATAACAACAGCCCTACCCGTAGGTTATTTTTCTCTTCTTTTCTCTTTATCCAGTTGAGGGCTTGCTGCTGAGGATCAATACACAAAGGAAAGCGACTAGCTCTCGTGGTGAGGATGCCGTTCTGAACAGACAGCTCATCAGGAGGCAGGCCCTGGGAGCCCCACCTGTGGATCAGAACATCAGGTAACCAGTGCTGTATCCAAGGCTACCTTGACTGTTTTTACTGCATTGCTCAGTCTAAATGCCAAAGGTTGAGCAGAAAGTTGTCTGGCTCTAGCAGAAGGGCACGGACCACCGACCTGGTGCCCAGTATCAGGAGGAGACATGTGCCGGCTCCGTCCCTGATCTAGGGAAGACGTATTGGCCGGCCTCTATTTCCATACTAAATCTGCCCAAGCCTGGCTTCCTCCAGCACCACCCACCACCCTGCTGTCCCCTCCCAAGCTTTGTGCCATGATATAACAGCACCAGTCTCTTGGCTGAAGAGCATCACCTACCTACTGATCTCTACATCATCCGTGAGCAAGCTTTCTAGTCGAAAAGGCTGGCTGAGGGGGATTTCCCGTTCCAGTAAATCTCTTTGCCACACCACATTGACCATCTCATTTCGAAACTCCCAGTTGAAGGCCCCTTCATAGCTCAGGAAGGCCGAGCAGAGCAGACAGTCACCCAACAACTTGAATCTCCGGTGTATCAGCTCATCCAAGTCAGCCATCCACCTGATGGGGAAGAGGTCAAGTCATTAGGTTCAGACCAAATGGGTGGGAACTTTAGAAGACTCATAACATTCTCCCAGCAGCGCTAGAAGTCTACCTGCCAAATTCTGCCAAGTCATCTATTTCTTCAGGCTGGTAGAGACACGCCATCGGATGAGTAATTGGTGACATTAGCCAAATGGACATGTCCAAAAGCACAGCTGTGGGGCAACAGTACCCACTACATTTAAGAACTTACAGATCATAGCTTTACTCACTGACTTCTCAAGCCACAAAGGACCTCGCAGGTCGCTTTATCACCCTGCCAGCAGTGGCGCTGACTCCCACAACCATAGGCATCAGACGTCGAGCCAGAAGCCACCAAGCCCCCAAAGCTCCTGGTGCCTCAGGGATCTGTCCCGTGCCTTATGACGTATGTCTTCTCTAGTCCCACAGTTGTACTCACCAGGATATAAAGTCTGCTTACAAATGGCCTTTGCATGCCTTAGATACACAAGAAAGAAACCTCTTGCCGAGTAAGTCTAGCCATGGGGAGCCATTTTACAACGGCGACCATGCCACTTCCACCCACTCACCTTCTGGATTGAACATAAGAAACGTTTCCTAATTTTCTGTCATGACGTTAAGCTAACCTCACGTTTTCTGAGCCCAAGCCAGAGATCAGCTTGTCAGCGGCAATCAGCCGCCTTTCCATGATCTCTGCTTCCTCCTGGAGCTGTTGCTTTTCCAGTATGGCTGCCTCATATTTGGCTCCCAACGCTTCCAGTTCAGCCTGGAGTGTGGCCAGCTCGTTCTGAATTCTCTCCAGTTCTCTTTTACTGAGGAAGTAGTTCCTCTCCAGCCTCGCCACCTAAAGAGTAGACATGATGCCTGAGAACTGGGGAACAGACCCTGTTCAAAGGCTTGGGCCACACCTATGTGATCCAATGAAGCATTCAGGGGACCACGGGATTTAGTGCCACAGGCTGCCACCAAACCTGGACTTCTTTCTTCAGCTACTCTCTCAACTCCCTGCTTCCAAGATCCAATCCTTCAACCCAATTAGACCAATGCAATTTGCATTTAAGTGAACATGAGGTCACATTTCTGTGTGTGTGTGTGTGTGTGTGTGTAGATATGTGTGTCTGTATAAAGACATGTGTGTGAATATGTTTACATATATGTATGTATGTGACACCTATCTCAAAGCCCATTGGTATGGGACTGACTCCTTACTGATGGAGATAAAGGCCCTGCCCTGTGTGAGGGGCAGGGAGGAGTTGGTAAGAGGCACGGACATTATCACATGCCCACGGCCCTTCTGTGGTGGTCTGCATTAGAAACCCCTCCCCGAACTCCTGTAGATTCCAGCCCTGAAATACACCTCCTCTCAGATGAATTAGGGAATGAGAAGAACCCAGTTCTCCAAAGGTTTTATCAAATTCTGTATACAAAGAGAATGAAAAAAAAAAGGTTTTGAAATGTGCCTCATTAAGGCAAGTTAAGATATAATTTGGAAGGGGCAGCTAGGTGGTGCAGTCAAAAAGGCTGGCTGAGGGCACTCATTAAGCTTCAGGTCTTCAAGTGTCCAGTCGCTTCAAGCACATCTTTGGGAGGGAAGATGGAAGAGGCTGAGCCCACTTCCAATTGCAAAAGGAAAACTTTCCAGGAGGAGCTGGCAGGCCCCATCATGTCCCTGATCCCAGCCTGCTACTCCAGAGACTTCAGGGAGTTTTTCACTTGGGTGAGACCTTGGACCCTCTCTTGGATAAGCTCAGGTACTCACTACCAATAGGAGAGCTCCTTCATTCTGTATTGTCGGATATATCTCCTGTGTAAGTCTTCTCTGATTTCTGTTGTGATTTGGATAAATTTGCTATTCTCTATGTGTGTTCATCATGGACTTGGTATTAGGTGGGGAAGGGGTTAAGCCTTGGCTATAGACCTTGGGGTCCTCCTTCCTCACCAAAATGACAAAATGATCCAAAGTTAGATGGAACCTGATCACATCCCCTAAATGAATGCTATTTGAGAAAATAGATAAACGTCTAGCCCAGTATCCCCTTTATCTGAGGAGAACAGAATAGCCTCCCACCCCAACTTCTGCTTCCCTTCTTGGCAGGAATTTAAAGTCTCCCTTGGAGAAAGACGGAGAGAGAAGAGGCTAGAAATGTTTATTCTCCTTCCCTTTGAGACATAAGACAGCTCGCTCCTTAAACACAGGACTCTCTGTATTTGTGGGCCCCTCACTATACATGGGGCTCACCCTTTTTTCCCCCACATATATATAATACATACATGTGTGTATGTGTATATATCATTTCCATGTGTACACTGGTAACTTCTAGCATTAAGATATGGCTCCAGGGTAAAAGTGCAGAACAGGGCATTTAGAGGTGGGGGTGGCACCAATGAGTTATTGCTTTGCTTTTTAATCAATGGGAACAACGAGCAAACTAAAACATACAACTGATCCTCTTCATTCTAGGTTTTCCAAATTATATCTTTTCGCTTTTCTTTTTTTTGGTGGGGCAATCAGGGTTAATTGACTTGCCTAAGGTCACATACTGAGGCCAGATTTGAACTCAGGTCCTTCTGACTCCAAGGCCAGAGCTCTATCTACTGCACCACCTAGCTGCCCCTTCCAAATTATATCTTAACTTGCCTTAATGACGCACATTTCAAAACCTTTTTTTTTCATTCTCTTTGTTTACAGAATTTGACAAAACCTTTGGAGAACTGGGTTCTTCCCACTCCCTAATTCATCTGAGAGGAGGTGTATTTCAGGGCTGGAATCTACAGGAGTTTGGGGAGGGGGTTCTAATGCAGACCACCACAGAAGGGCCGTGGGCACGTGAGATGCCAGCTAGCTCCAGACTGGACTCAGCCCAGTTATTTTCTAGGGTTCACAAATGAGCAGTACCTTCTCTCTTTTGGGCTTGATTTCCTTAAAAACATCACAGTACCCCATCACGGCTTCCACAAACTTCAGCATGCCCAACCCGGCTTTGCTTACGGCCTCCATTTCTTCAAAGGTTGTATTGAGAGTCTTTAAGAGCCCTTTAAGACAGGATATGAAATTTTCAGTCAATGGGGCAGCCAACAAGTATTAATTAAGTGCCTGCTATGTGTCAGGCACCTACACAAAAAAAAACAGTGCTGCTCTCAAGGAGGTCACAATCTAGGGTGGGGGTGGGGGGAGACAACAGGCAAACAAGTGTGTACAAACATAATACATATAGGATACACTGGAGGTGACGTCAGGAAGAAAGCACAAAGATTAGGAAGCCTGGGAAAGGCTTCCGGCAGAAGGTGAGATTTTAGCTGGGGCTTGAAGGAAGTCAGGTATGAAGCACAGCCAATGAACATGCCTAGAGCTTGTGTAGGAACAGCAAGGGGGGGGAGTACATTAGGAGGGTAAGAAGTATTCTGTATTTGATCCTGGAGATACTAGGGAGCCACGGAGGTTTGTTGAATGGGAGAGGGCATGGAGGTCTGACATGGTCAGACTTGTACTTTAGGAAGATCAATTTGATCGCTGAGTGAAGGATAGACAGAACTGGCCAGAGACCGGAGGCAGGCTGACCCACTAGCCACTATTGCAATAGTCCGGGGGTGAGGGGATGTGAGGACCTGTGCCAGGGTAGGGGAAGTGTCAGAGGAGACAAGGGGGCATATTCAAGAGAGGCTGCAGGGGTGGAAAGGACGGGAGAGGCTGCGGGGGGGGGGGGAGGAGAAGGACCGGGAGAGGCTTCGGGGGGGGGGGTGGAAGAGACGGGAGAGGCTGGGGCGAGGGGCGGGGGAATCCATAGGCCCTGGCCACAGCTTGGATATGACAGGGTGAGAGTGAGAACTCAGGATGACTTCTAGGTTGGAAGCCTGAGGGACTGCCCTTGACAGTAATAGGGAAATTCAGAAGAGGGGAGGGTTTGGGGTGAGAGGGAAGATAATAAGTTCTGCTTTGGAGTCTGTGGGACACACAGTTCAAGAAAATGAGGCACAGCTGTCACTTTGAAAAAGAGAGAAATGAGATATTTGGGGCTAATGAAGTACTCCTGATTCATTATTCATTAATAAATATGTCCATAAAATATAGATCCAACTGTCTGAGATCTGAAAGCCCAGACAGCTGTGTTTCATAACTGATCATTTGGATATGAGAGAAGCCTCTAGAAAGGCAAAGACAAACTGACATGAGCTGAATTGGAGCCCCCCCCTCCAAGTCCCTTCCTCCTACTAGACTGTCAAGGTCTCTGTTGAAAGGCTCTGCCTGTGTCTGCAGCTGAACCCCTGCCAAGCTGTGCCTGCCTTACATCTGTCCTCGCTGGCAGGCCTGAGATCTAGGGCCCAGGCTTGCAGTGGGGTCATCAAAGTTCCAGGGAGAGGACCCTGGCTTTCTGTTAGTGGGAGAGGGTCCTCAGATAAAACCAACACAAAGCTACGATTTAGAGCTCCCTTACAGTGGTCCTTCCATCTAACTGGAAACAGATAACGTGAAGGGAGAGTTTATTGTGAAGGGGGCAAAACTAATGTCAAAATGACATAAGAATCGGAGGAGGACGTCCTGTTACTGGGGCAGGTGTCCTGGAACAGGAGGCCTCAGTCACAGGACCAAGGTGCAAATCGCTACCCAGGGGAGCAACCTGAAGCAAGCCACTGAACCCTGTCTGGGTCTCACTGTGCCCCTCGGTGAGATGGAGGGGCCAGACGAGCCACTCTAATGGGTCCCTTCCAGTCTAAACCTGTGATGGAGGCGTCTATGAACTTATATAACAAAAACATCAGAATAAACAGCTATGGTTACGCAATTATAAGTGCTTTCCTCACTGATATTGAGTATGATATAGATTACATAGATATAGATACAGAGATAGAGGAATAGGGATAGATGATATACATGTAGGTATAAATATTATAGATACAGGGATAGATGATGTAGACATAGGTATAAGTGTTATAGATACAGGGATAGCTGATACAGACATAGGTATAAATGTTATAGATACAGGGATAGCTGATATAGACATAGGTATAAATGTTATTGATACAGGGATAGATGATATAGATATAGGTATAAATGTTACAGATACAGGGATAGATGATATATAGGTATAAATGTTATAGATATAGGGATAGATTATATAGATATAGGTGTAAATATTATAGATACAGGGATAGATGATATATATAGGTATGAATGTTATAGATACTGGGATAGATGATACAGATATAGGTATAAATGTTATAGATACAGGATAGATGATATAGATATAGGTATAAATGTTATTGATACAGGGATAGATGATGTAGATATAGGTATAAATGTTACAGATACAGGGATAGATGATATATAGGTATAAATGTTATAGATACAGGGATAGATGATATAGACATAGGTATAGATATAAATATAAGCATAAGTATAGGCACAGATGACATAAATATAGATAGGTACAGATGCAGGAAAATTGATCTTTAAGAAGGGGCATATCTTCTCCTTCAGAACTCAGGCCTGAAGGATGCTTGGGTCCTCAGGAACCAAAGCACCAAAGAGTTGACTGTTAATTGGTAACTTGGGACACATAGTCACCATCCACTTTTTAATGTGTCAGCACTAGCTCTATACAGGAGGAAGTCTCCTGGGAAAAGGTCAAGGTCAGGTCAAAGACTTATCCTCCCCCTCTGTGGGAAGTGCAAGCACAGGAAAAAATTGTAGGTGAAGCACCAAGTGAAAAGGCTGAGTCTTGCCAGATGAGTTTGTAGATGCCATTGAGAGTGAGAAAAAGAATGTGGTTCTTTAAGGAGTCCCAAATCCCCTTGCTGAAGTCAAAGCCATGGACCTTGTAAATGGAAAATCACCTGCTCCTTCTCAGTCCTGGGTTATGTGTTTCTCCCCAGGACCCCAGCTGTATCTCTCTCCCAAAAGATCAAACAAACCCCAAATTCCAGGCCTTATGTAGATGGAAACAAACCAACAGAAGCACGGGAGGCTCTAGAGAAAGCTGGGACAGCATCCACTCTGGCCATCTCCACTTGCCTCGGATGTTCTTGACTTGGCTCTGGGTGATTGAATCAAAGTCCATCTCCATGAGAGACCTCAGGAAGTTCGGGTCAGACATCATGCCCTTGGCCGTCTTCCAGTTGAGCTCCTTGTACCCCTTCACAATCAGAATACACTCACAGACAGTCTGCACCTGTTTGGGGGGCTTAGCAAAAGACCTGGGGTGGGGGGAAAGACCAAAGAAATCAATCAAATGCAGAATCACAAACTATAAATTCGGATGGACTGCAGGTAAGCATTCAAAGACACTGATGTTAGTGGTGGGAAGTAGCGTGCTGAGTTCAGTGGTAGCAGAGCTTTGAACTTGGGAGGGTCAAGAGATCCCTAGGGTTGAATTCCAGCCTTGATGCTTTCCAGATGCGTGACCGTGGCCAAATGATGTAACCTTTCTGAGCCTCAGTCTCCACCTCTGAAAATGAAGATAATAATGCCTGCAGGAACTCTGCCAGGCCCACCCTACCCTACAGAGGTCAACCCCCTCATTTTGCAGATGAGCAGAGTGAGGCCCAAGGTACTTAACTGAGAGTAAGTCACTTGCCCAAGGTCATCGTTGGTAGTAAAGTATCAGAGGCAAGATTTGAACTTGGGCCCCCTGTATTGCTTTTTCCTCTTTTCCACGGCCATCAAGAAGGCCATGTAAGGAGGCTCCTTTCCAAGGTCTTTCTCCATATGAGAAATGTGTAAGGTTTGCTCTTTCATCCAGATATGACGCCCAAAGGTCCCAAAGCATAAATCCAGAAATGAAGGCAAGAAAGAGCACTTTCTTCTCCTCACCAGAAAGTCCACAGATGGAGAGGCAGGGAATCTGAGACAGTGACCCCAAAAAGCAATCCCCCCAAAATATGAAGGCACAAAGACTGAGCCATCGCATTGGCTGCTCCACGCACTGGCATCTGAGTCTCTGCATGGATGTATGGCCACCAAAAGAACCCCGGGGGACATGGACATAAACCTGACCTGGAGAGTGGAAATCAGGACCGATGAGTGTGAGAAGGGATGTCTGGCATACTGCTGAATTAAACCAAGGACACTGGGATGAGAGAAAGGGGGTGGGGCGGTTTGTCTGTCTTCAGTTAGTCACGGAATTTGGAGATGGGAAGAGACTACCTCAGCAAAGGCAGAGGACAGTATGTACTCATTTCGGTGGTGTGTCCCAGCCTCTTACCACCCAAAACCCATTTACCTGGGCCAACCAAAAGCAAAGCAAACCTTTTCTATCGAGAAACTACACAGACAGGCTGCCCTCCTAACCTTGACTTCTCAGCCCAGCAATGAGGATGACTTCATTTGCCACAGGTAATTAGCAAAGGAATAATTCCCCTGGGAAAAGACAACTTCTTGCTACCAGCAGCAACATCTCCAGATAAATGCTTTGCTTTCTGGACAGAGAAACTGTGCGATCCTAACTCAAATACTTCATTAATTAAAAAAACAAGGTTATTTGTCTTCAAGGAGAAGACAGGTAACCTCTAAAAACTAAGGCAAACATGACATCATCTCCCTCTGAAACCATTTCAAATAAGTAGGCAGAAAGAAAAAAGAACAGTGCTGGGCACAGCACAAGCATTAGAATCAGGCTGGACAAAGCCAACTTGGGGAATGAGTACAGAAAGGGAGGTGGTGAGGCACAGTGGAAAGAGCATGGTGCTGGACTCAGAGGACCTGGGTTCCAGTCCTACCCTGATGCTCACTATGTGGGTGATACTAGCCGTAGACCTCAGCTTTCTCATTCAAAAGACGAAGGGATTGAAGGAGATGACCTCTGAGGTCCCCTCCAGCTTCTAGCTCTATGATGGTGTGATACATTCATGGAAGAAGAGTATTGTTACCTTCGCCTAGGCTGCCCCTCATTGCAACATGCCTGAAATGTTCCCCTTCCTCACTGCCGCCTCTTAGACCCCTAGCCACCTCCCTGGCTTGCTTCAAGGCCCTGCTCGGGCACCATCTTGTATTGGAGGCCTTCCTGACCCCACTCCCGCTTGAAATTACTTTGTACTATTTCAACCGTGCTCTGTATTGATTTCTCTGTGTACATATTCTATATCATCCTCGCCTTCTACCAGCAGAACACAAGTTCTTCAAGGACAGAGAATGTTTTGTTTTTGTTGTTGTATACCTAGCTCTCAGATTTTCCATTCAATCATTTTGGTCATGTCTGACTCTCCACAACCCCATTTGGGGTTTTCTAGGCAGAGATATCAGAGTGGTTTGCCATTTCCTTCTCCAACTCATTTTACAGATGAGGAAACTGAAGCAAACAAGGTGAAGTGACTTGCCCAGGGTCATACAGCTGGTAAGTGTCTGAGGCTGGATTTGAACTCAGGAAGATGATTCTTCTCGACTCCAGGCCTGGCATTTTATCCACTGCACCACTTAGCTGCCCAAATTATAGAAGATGTTTAATAAATGCCTGTTGAATTTAACTGAATTGCCATGATTAAAGATGCAAAGTCATACAAATGATAACACCTTGGAAAGACTCCTGGGTGCACGGAGTCAAAAGGAAGAAAGGAGTCAGCAATAAGTGAGAGCAGAAGGAACGCCTTCAAAGACCGCAGGGCAATGCTCTTTGTTGGGATTTCATTAGTGGTGTGAGATGCAATTTCCAGGGGGGCAGCTGGGTGGTGTAGTGGATAGAGCACCGGCCCTGAAGTCAGGAGGACCTGAGTTCAAATCTGGATTCAGACCAAACACTTGACATTTACTAGCTGTGTGACCCTGGGCAAGTCACTTAACCCCAATTGCCTTAAAAAAGAGAGAGAGGGAGAGACAGATGCAGCTTCCAGAATCCACTACAGAATCATCTGGGGGGTGCAGACAGTGCAGAGAAACGGCTCTGTAGCCCACCCTTCTCCCTGCCAAGGAGGAGAACTGTCTGTGTGGGCTCCTTTTACAAAACACTGATTTTTGAAAGGCTAGCCACAAGCTTCATCTGGTAGCCACAACTGGGAATTACAGACAGAATGGCTACTGGTTTAATCTTTCAAGTGCCTGGTGTGTCCAAAGAGAAAGAAAAGCATATACGAATCCCGTTCTAGCTAATAGTGCTTATAATATTTTTATTTTAATATTTTAAAAATGTTTTATTTTAATATTTTATTTTAATTTATTTAATTATTTTATTGAATAGTTATTTTACTATTTTAACTATTTTAATCATAAATTGTTTATTACTGTTGTTCTGGACCTACGTGTAGAATTCTATCAACCAATCAATCAACAGCCTTTATTAGGCACCCAGTGTTCGCCCTGCAGCCATACCTGCCGATCTGTATTTGTATTCCCAGCACTTGGAACATGATAAGTGCTTAATAAATTAATGCATGTGTTCATTCATGTGCCAGGTACTGCCCTAGGTGCTTAGAACACAGTGACAGAAGTCCTTGCTTTCAAGGGGTTTACAGGCAGCAGATGGAGTGCTGGGCCTGGAGTCAGGGAGACCCAAGTTCAAATCCAGCCTTAGAGATTCATTAGTGGGGTGACCCTGGGCGAGCCGCTTAATCAATGATTGCCTCAGTTTCTTCAACTGTAAAAGGGGGATAACGATAGCACCGACCTGTAGGATTCTTGTGAGGATCAAATGAGGTGCTTGTAAAGCACTTAGCACAGGGCCTGGTACATAGATGGTGCTTAATAATTGCCTGTTTCCTTCTCATCAAGGGGAGACAATACGTGTATATTCATAGGCCTATACAAAACGGGAACAAGATGATTTTGGGAGCAGGACACAAGCAGCTGGGGGGATCAGGAAAAGCCTCCTGGACAGGCCTGAGGTGCCGCAGCGAGGGATTCTCATGACGGGAAAACGCCCTCCACCACCCAGACCACGCCTTCTCTGTAACTTGGAGCATCTCTAGGGAGTCCCCTGGGGAGCTCAGCCTCCGAGGGACCTGCCCAGGGTCCGCACAGCCAGGAGGGTCAGAGACGGGCCTCGCGCCTCAGCCCCCTGACTCAGCCCCTCCGTGAGACAGCCCTGCTCGTGAAAGTGTAACCTGATCTCTGTGACGTCGGACTTATCCAGCTTCTGCAGCTCCAGCTTGGCCGCTTCCAAGATGGGCATCGCTTCCTCCAGGGCTGTCTCAGCCTCCGCTTTTTCCACAGCGATGACCTGATTCTGCTCCTCTATCTCTATGGCCTTCTCTTCGGCGAGTTTCTTCTTTTCCTCCGCTGCAGGAAGAGGTAGGAAAGCGTAATGTCCCAACTGATGCAAACACACAGGGACATCCTCTGGGCTCACCGGGAGGAGCCCTGAGCTCTTGGACCCCGGTGTCCCCAGGCCTCCTCTGGTTCTCTCCTCCTTCCTCCCTTCCGGCCCGCTGTCCTCTCTACACCCCTCTCTCATTTGGATGCTGGGCTCTCTGGGACAGCTCCTTCTATCTCAGGCCATCCCAGGGAAACTGTCTCTACTACTTGCTAGTTTATTTAAATTCCCCACTCTCCCACTAGCCTCCTTTTCCCATCCCCATCTTCTCTACTGCTGCTTTCCCATCAGATTTAGCTTTGTCATCATTATCAAGCATGTAGTACAGGACTTGGAGTCAGAAAGACCTGAATTCGAATCCCACCTCAGACGCCTCTTAGCTATGTGATCCTGGGCAAGTCACTTAAACTCAGTCTCTTCATCTGTGAAATAAGAGACAAGGACTCATGGCCTTTAAGGCCCCTTTCCAACTCTAAATCTATGTTGCTGTGACCATAAGGGAGAAGGCTGGCTGAGAACATTAGAATAGAGATCAGAGGAGGAAACAAGGTCCTTTTGTCCTTTGCACACTTCTAGGGCAGGGAGAGGAAAGAGACAAGGATTTCAAGAAAAAGAACACAAGCCTGGCACAGGGGAATTTCAACTGTCCGTGCATTCACCAGTGCCCTCCATCTGCCAGAAGGAGAGCAGCTCATCATTTCTCACCCAGAGGAGGCACCAGGAGAGGGAAGGGCCTTGCGTTCACGCCATCTGGGGAAGATCTGAAGGAACTGGAGATGCTGAGCCCGGAGAACCGGATGGTCAGGGGATGTGAAGGGATGTCATGTGGAAGGTGGGTGAGACTCTTCCTCGGAGGACAGGATCAAGAAAAGTGGGCGAAAGTGGCAAAAAGCACATTCTGGGTCCATGTCAGAAAAATAACATTCCTAACAACAAGAGCTTTTCAGAAGCAGGACAGAGCCTTGGGTGGAGAGGTTCTGAGGGTGCATTACGACTCATCAGGGCAGGCCAAGGACGCATTATTTTCCAGGAGAGGGGGAAACAGATGGCCTCTGAGGCCCCTCCAGCCCCGAGATCCTGTTACCCCATGAAGTGGGTAGTGCAAGTGTTATTACTGCCATTTTATGGATAAGGAAACTGAGGCTCAGAAAGGTGATTTGCCTATTGTGGCATAGCTGGTAAGTGGTCAAGTCTCTTGACAACAAAACTGGCCCTCTTTCTACTACACGTGCCCTCAACAAGCAAAAGAGTGTTCAGGAGACCACGTGTTGACCATTTTGGTGAAGGCTGAACAACTGTACAAAGATCGGGTAAGAAAGAAGGATGAACACTAATGGGAAAATATGTTTAATAGGAATGTACACGTAGAGCCTATACCAGATTGTGCACTGTCTTGGGGAGGGAGGTGGGGAGGGAAAAATTTTAAACTCAGAAGCATATGGAAGTGATTGTTGATAAATCAAAAGAAATAAAAAAAGAAAAAAAGGAAGAAGGATGAAGAGGTTAGCTCCGGAGAGCCCAAAGAGGAACACGGGCACCCAGAGAAATAGCTGCTGAAGTTAATGCTATCATTAACACTGAGGGGTTCACGTGGTGGTGGGTGGGGTGGGAGTCACAGGCACAAAGTACAGCTTCAGGAAGATCAGTCTGGAATCCAGAAGCCAGTGGTGAGCATAATGAGTTCAGGTACGAGGCAAAGTGACCAGAACCTAGAAGGTGTTGTGCATGAAGGCTGAAAAGCAGGGATGGAACTCAAAAGCATCTCAGAAGAGTCAGTCAAAATGCATTGATTAAGCACCTACTATGTGCCCACCTGGCTTCTCACCCGGACCTCATCATGGTCTCCAGAGACTTCTCATCCTATGAGATCACATCAACTCCAAAACTCACAACCTCTCAGTACCTTCCAGCCCTGCCTCTGATTGGAGAGGATGGAGGGTGGGCACCGGAGACCTCTGAGATCTTCCACTTAAGGAGGAAGCCCAGGGTAGCCATCTCATCGTTTCCCAGCCAGCTGTAGAAGTTCCTTATGTCACTCAACCAGATCGCTTCTCTCTCCTCCCCTCCCCACCTCTTCTGCTTCTTCTAATGTGTTATCTCCCCCATTGGACTGGGAGCACCTTGAGGGCAGGGCCTGTCTTTTGCCTTTCTTTGTATCCCCAGTGCTTAGCACTGTGCCTGGAACATAGAAGATGCTTCATAAATATTCATTAAACAAGCTACATACAGGAAGACAGAAGGCACTGGAATTAAGAAGGATCAGGAAAGGAAGAAGGTGGGATTTCAGCTGGGGCTTGAAGGAAGCCAGGGAAGTCAAGGCATGGAGGACAGCTGGAGAAAATGCCTGGGAGGGGGGCAGCTAGGTGGTGCAGTGGATAGAGCACTGGCCCTGAAATCAGGAGGACCTGAGTTCAAATCCAGCCTCAGACCAAACACTTGACACTTACTAGCTGTGTGACCCTGGGCAAGTCATTTAACCCCAACTGCCTGAAAAACAAAAATGCCTGGGAGTTGGGAGCTATCTTATGTGAGGGACATCAAGGAAGCCAGTGTCACTAGACCACAGAATACATGGAGAAGAATAGGGCGTAAGAAGACTGGAAAGGTGGCAAGGGGCGAGCTTAAGAAGGGCTTTGAAAGACAGACAGAGAATTCTTTTTTGACCCTGGAGGCAACAGGAAGCTGCTGGAATTACTGAAGAGTGGAGTGACAAGAATTAGACCAGCACTTTTGTGGCTGTTTGGGCACGTCAGCTCTTTGTGACCCCAGAGACCACACCCAGAGGGCATTCCAGGCCCTTCTGTCCTCCACTGTCACCCAAAGTCTCTCCAAGCTCATGTTTGTTGCTTCCCTGGCACTATCCATCTGCCTCATCCTCTGCCGTCCCCTTCTCCTTTTGCCTTCAATCTTTCCCAGCATCAGAGTCTCTTCCAATGAGTCCCGTCTTCTCATTATATGGCCAAAATACTTGAGCTTCATTTTCAGATTTAACCTTCCAAATGAATAGTCTGAATTAATTTCTTTAACTGTTGATTGATTTGATCTCCTCGCTGTCCAAGGGACTCTCAACAGTCTTCTCCAGTATCACAATTTGAAATCATTGGTTCTGTGGTGCTCAGCTTTCCTTATAGTCCAACTCTCACAGCCATACATTGCTGCTGGAGAAAAAAAGTAGTTTTGACTACATCTACCTTTGTGTTAGTGTGCTGTCCAGATCTGCCATAGCTTTTCTTCCAAAAAGGAGGCACCTTTTAATTTCATGGTTTCAGTCGCCATCTGCAGCCATCTTTGAGCCCAAGAACATAAAATGCAACACTGCTTCTATTCCTTTTCCCTCTATTTGCCAGGAAGTGATGGGACCAGGTGCCAAGATCTTAGTTTTGCTTTTTTTTAATGTTAAGCTTCAAGCCTTCATTTTCTCTCTCCTCTTTTACCCTCATCAAGTGGTTCTTAATTCTCCTTCATTTTCTGCCATCAGAATGGTATCATCTCCATAGCTGAGAATGTTGATATTTCTTCCAGCAACCTTAACTTCAGCTTTTGAGTCATCCAGCCTGGCATTTCCCATGACATATTCTGCATATAAGTTAGATAAACAAGATGATAAAATACAGACTTGTTGTACTCCTTTTCCAAACTTAAACCAATCAACTGTTCCACGTTCCGTTCTGTTGTTTCTTGACCCGCAGACAAGTTCTGCAAGAGTCAAGTAAGATGATCCGGTATTCTCATCTCTCTGAGGACTTGCCATATTTTGCTGTGATCCACATAGTCAGAGGCTTTAGTATAGGCAATGAAATAGAAGTAGATGTTTTTCTGGAACTCCCTTGCTTTCTCCATAATCCAGTGAATGTTGGCAATTTGGTCCCTAGTTCCTCTGCCTCTTTAAAAGCCAGCCTGTTCTTCTGGTAATTCTCAGTTCACATATTGCTAAAGTAGCTTGCAGAATAGGCAGCTAGGTGGCACAGTGGATAGAGTACTGGGCCCAGAGCAAGGAAGACTTGAACTCAAATCTAGTCTCAGATGTTTACTGGCTGTGTGACCCTGGGCAAGTCACTGGGCAAGTTTGCCTCAGTTTCCTCATCTGTAAAATGAATTGGAGAAAAAAATGGCAAACCACTCCAGTATCTTTGCCAAGAAAACCCCAAATGGGGTCACGGAGAGTCAGGCATGACTGAAAAGGACTCAGCAGCAACAGCTTGCAGAATCTTAAGCATGACCTTGCTGTCATTTGAAATAAGCTCAATTGTTCCACAATTTGAACATTCCTTGACATTGCCCTTCTTTGGGATTGGAATGTGAACTGATCTTTTTCAATCCAGTGGCCACTGTGGGTTTTTTTTTTCCAAATTTGCTGGCATATTAAATGCAACACCTTAACATCATCATCTTTTAGGATTTTAAATAGCTCATCTGGAATTCCATCACCTCCACTAGCCTTATCCCTAGCAATGCTTCCTAAGGCCCATTTGACTTCATTCTCCAGGATGTCTGGCTCTAGATCAGTAACCACACCTTCATGTCCTTAACATGGTGATGTTGAGCTATTTACTTTTACTTTCACTTTTTCTGTGTATTCTTGCCACCTCTTCTTAATCTCTTCTGCTTCTGTTAAATCCCTACCTTTTCGTCTTGAAACATTCCTTTGATATCTCTAATTTTCTCGAAGAGATCTTTTCTTTCCCATTCTACTGTTTTCTTCTATTTCTTATATCTCCTTGCTATTCTCTGGAATTCCACATTCAGCTAGGTCTATCTTTCCTTTTCTCCTTGACCTTTCACTTTCCCTCTTTCCTCAGCTATTTGTAAAGCCTCATCAGACCGCCATTTTGCTTTCTTACTCTTCTTTTTCTTTGGAATGTGTTTTATTGCTGCCTCCTGCACAATATTGCAAACCTCTCTGTCCATAATTCTTCAGACACTCTATCGACCAAATCTAATCCCTTAAATCTATTCATCATTTCCACTTCATAGTCATTAGGGATGTTATTTAATTCACACATGATGGTTTTCTCTAATTTCTTCAATTTAAGTCTGAATTTTGTAATAAGAAGCTCATGACCTGAGCCACCATCAACTCAGCTCTTGTTTTAAATAACTGTATGGAGCTTCTCCACCTTTGGCTGAAAAGTAAAATTAGAATTAGAAAGTAGAATCAATTTTATTTTGATATTAACCATCTGGTGATGTCCATGTGTAGAGGTGCCTTTCGGGCTATTGAGAAGAGTGTCAGCTATGACCAGCAAGTTATCTTGACAAAATTATTAGTCTCTGCCTTGCTTCATTTTGTATTCCAGGGCCAAACTTGCCTGTTATTCCAATTATCTTTTGATTTCCTACTGAATGTGACTTTTTTTGTGTTATTTCTAGAAGACATTGTGGGCCTTCATAGGACCGACCAACTTTGGCCTCTTTGGCATCAGTGTTTGTAGCACAGACTTTTATTAATTGTGGTGTTGAATGGTTTGCCTTAGATTCAGATAGATATTAGTTGGTTATTTTTGAGATTATACCCCAGTACTGCTTTTGCACCCTTTTACTGAATATAGACCTACTCCATTTCTTCTAAGGAATTCTAGCCCACAGTAGTATATGTAGTGATCTCCTGAATTAAATTCACCCATCCCTGTCCATTTAAGTTCACTGACACCCAAGAAGTCAACATTTAATATTTCTATCTCCTGTTTGACCACATCCAGCTTACCTCAGCTCTTAGATCTTACATTCTAGGTTCCTGTGCAATATTGATCTTTACAGCACCAGACCTTCCTTTTGCCACCACGTGCATCCACAGCTGGGCTTCTTTTCAGCCCTGGCCTAGTCACTTCATTCTTTCAGGAGCTACTTGTAATTGTCCTCCATTCTTCCCTGCTAGGATATTGGACACCTTCAGACCTGAGGGGCTCATCTTCCGGTGTCATATCTTTTATCATTTTAATACTATTCATGGAAATTTCTTGACAAAGATGCTGAAGTGGTTTGCGTTTCCTTCTGTAGCGGGATCGCCTTTTGTCAGAACTCTCCACCACGACCTGTCCATCTTGGGTAACCCTGCACAGCACAGCTCATAGTGCTTTAGGAAGATCAATTTTACAGCTGATTGGAGGATGGACTCAAGTGTCTTGTGGACTGGACTTGACTATCAGAGGAAGGGTATTGAAAGGCACATACAAAGACAAATAGAAGGATAGTTACCAGTGTGCCCAAGCCGATAAAAAGATCTGCATCACTTTGGATGAAGAACCAGATATCACACTGGTAAGATCATGGAAAGGGCAGGAGTGGGAAGGGGGAGGTAGCCAATGATGGCAGCTCTTCCCAACTGGGCAGCAGAATCTGAAGTTAATATGCTTATTAATGAGGAGCCTCTTTGAGATAGTAACATCATGAGAACAGCATCTGAGAGCAATAATTTCAGAAGGAATGTATAAAATAGACAGGAGAGAGAAGAAACTGAGGTCAGGAAGAGCACTGGGTGAGGTCACTGTTACAATAAGCAAAGCCAGAGGAGGCCATGATGATCTGGACTGAAACTGTGAACAAGAAATCTGCAAGTGTTAGAAAGACCAGGTGAGAGGTCAGGGCCAAACACAGAGATCTGGATTGGCATATAGGTGCCAACCAAGAGTTGACAGTTGGCCAACCCATGACTCCTTGCAAAGGAAGGGACAGGGAGGTGGAGAGGACTTAGTGAAGGAGACAGACTAGGTGCTCAAACAACAAAGAAAGAACAAGTAATCCCAGAATCAAAAAAAAGAGTTCTTCTGAACCAGGTCCACTGAGGGCAGGAACTTGAGCCTAGCTCAAATCCTCATGGCTCGTTCAGTATCTGGTGGAGTCTCCATTAATATTGACTTGTCCAACCATGGCCTAAGAGAAAGCACACTGGAAACCAGGCAGAAACATGGTCTCTTTGCCTTTGGGGCAGCTAAGTGGTGCAGTGGATAGAGCAGTGGCTCAGGAGTCAGGAGGACCTGAGTTCAAATCTGGCCTCAGACACATAACACTTCCTAGCTGTGTGACCCTGGGCAAGTCACTTAACCCCATTGCCTGGCAAAAATGAAAAACAAATTAAAAAAAGCACACTGGGCTTAAAAGGAAATACACATTCTGGTTCTGCCACTTTTTACTAAGCTGCGTGAAGTTTCAAGCAAGCCTCAAGGGCCTTGGACCAGATGGCCTCTCGGACCTCATTTTTCCCGAGATTAATGATTTTGTTTGACAACAGCGACCCGATATTCATTCATTCACTCAGAAAGAGAGCAGATGAGCCACCAAAGGTACCCTTGTGTGATGGCACCTTGGTTGCTACCCACTTGCTCTGCCTGCCTGTCTGCCTCTGAAGTCTTGGCCCATTACTCACCTATTGCTGTGTTCATGGAGATCTCCTCCAACAGAGCCTCGCAGGCAGCTGACTTCTCAGCAAGGACAACCTTCTGCTCTGCCAGCTTCACATTCAGCTCATCCAGCTGAATGGTGGCTTCTTTCAGCTTATCCAGTCCTCCTTCCAGACGTTTGCACTGTGCTGAGCGGGAACACAATTCAAATGCTCACCAGGAGGAAAATTCAAAACAAAGTTCAAAGGACTTCATTTAAATGACCTCACTCTGATTTTTCTAATCACAGCGGGGAGTTGTCTACCAGCTGATGATTCTAGGCTTTGTGGAAACATGAAATACACCATGCCACCCACATTGGCTTCCTGGGGCCCCGATGCTATTGGCCAATATGATTGTTCTGATTCTGGATTAAAAAAGTCAAGGGCCAACAGGCACCATTTAGAAAGCAAAATACCAGCTGTGACTGGCAATATTTTCAACACCATAATTTCTAAGGCATGATGGAAACATGAAGCTACAGAGTACCCGAACAGCTCTGTCCAGGAACCAAAACAGCTGCCAGCATTCTTCTAGCACAGCAGGAGAGGAGAAATTCTCCTGAAAACAGATCTCTGGTGAAGTCTGCTCTGGAAAGCTCTACCATTTCTAAAACACCTCTGTGTAAGGTAGAACGAGCTTTTCAGTAACTTTTTTAAAAAGCTGATTAGTTACTGTCCTTGTTCATCATGAGGGAGGGTTCAGCCACCGGCATGGGGCAAGGGGTGAAATGACTGTGCCACCACCAGGACAAAGGAAGGACATCATTATAGTGTCTTTCCTGAGTACGTGCATCAGCAGGTAGAACCTCCTTCCCTATGTAAGTCTTACCTATGTTGAATTGAGTTTTTTCATCTAGTAACTTGGAATAGGTACTGATAAAATCAAGGTAGTTCTTGGGAGTGACGTAGTTGCTTCGCCTCAGTTTTTGGAGGAATTTTTTGCTGAACTCGCCAACGGACTCATGGACCATAACAATGTGTCCTACCACATCTTCTGTGTAATCGGGCGGAATCATTGGATTCTCCCCTAAAGCAAAAGGGCAGAAATGTGAGAGGAATCTCCTCTAAGGAGCTGTGGATGGTGTTCTCTTTCTGATAAAGCCGGGCTACGATGTTGAGAGAAGCAGAGCGGTGCAGTAGCTAGAGCACCAGGCCTGGAGTCAGGAAGACCTAAGTTCAAATGTGGCCTCAGACACTTACTAGTTGTGTGACCCTGGGCAAGTCACTTAACCCTGTTGGCCTCAGTTTCCTCATCTGTCAAATGAGCTGGAGAAGGAAATGGCAAACCACTCCAGGGTCTTTGCCTAAAAAATCCCAAGTGGAATTACGAAGAGTCAGACACAGCTGAAAAACAACTGAACAACAATTCTTAGGCTAGAGTGTAGAGGGTAGCAATTGCATCTCCCTACAGGGAGGGAGATCTGTCTTCCCAGAGATAAAAATTTTCTTGACACGATAGAGTCTGAATACCATCAAACTTTATGTACAAAGGCACTAGAAACCTAAAATGGTCACTCCCTAATTAAATAAATACAACTTTTCAGGAGAATTTCTCCTCTCCTGCTATGCTAAATAAAAAAAAACCAACCCAGACGATTTCCGGCCATAAGGATGGTTTTAAATCTTCCTTCAGTGTTAAGCCTTAAACCTAAAGAGAAACTTTCTAACAATGAAAGTTTTCCCAACACAGAACAGAATGCCTAAGAAGATACAGCAGGTCCCCTCTCACCAGGGATAAAAAAGATATCAATAAAATTATTTTTAAAAATAATACATTTGCCTAGCGTCCTACAAATCTAATTGACTTTATAATGAAAAGATGGAGGGGAAAAGCTGCCTATTACTTATTAAACTCATCAATAAAAATATACAGAGAAAAACACAAACTTTGATAAGTGAGTGTACTCGAAAATGTGCACCTGTCGTTTGCAGTTTGTGTAGTACACAGCAGTAGATTTGGGAGCTCTTGAAATGGCAACTCCCCTCCAGTGATGCGAATCGCCACCCAACTATGCCCCCCTCATGTGTCACCATTCTTTTATCTTCTCTGAATTCTCCCTAAAGGGTCTGGCCCATGTGCAGGACTCAGGCAGTCTCTCTCCTGTCCACCTCCTTTTCCAGTCAGGAATTATCAGATTTGAGGCATAAGTTTCTTATGCCTCTTGGGTGTAAGTTACTGTTGTGAGGAACGTACTAACCCCCACTTACCCCTACCATGCATCTCTTCATTGACCTTTGGGGTCGGCCACAATTTTGATGTCTCAAGTTGTTCCACAGCTGTAAATAACAGGCTTATATTTTGAAGTATGAGCCTCCCTTAAAGCTCTGGATGTTGTTATTGGCAATCAGTTTGACAAATAAAATGAGTTTACAAAAACAAAACTGAAATAAAGTCAGACTACATGACATTTCAAGGTATCTCAGCTCTAAGCCCCGTGATGAAGACAGTTATTGCCAAATGCAATATCCAGCTCGTGTCTAGTGGCATTGAGTCCCCTTGTACTGCCTTCGGGTGACATCAATGCACTTGGTATCCCTAATTTTTGTCCTATTCCACAGTATGTTTTACTTGTGAACTGAACAGCTTCAACCCATTCTGGAAAGGGGATGAAGGCGGCACAGCACAGCAGGCTGAGGAGTAGATGTTGGCTGAAAGCCGTGGGCTCAGATCCCAGCATCGACTCCTCTCAACAGTGTGACCATAGACAAGTCATGCAACCACTATGATCTTCCTGATGTGTTTAATACAGATGACGGTAACGAAGGGCTGTTATAACCCTCAAAGATATTGGTTGGAAGGCACTTTGTAAAATTTAAAGTGCTGTGCAATAGAAATTTGTCAGACAATAAACACTTATTAAGCTTCTATGCTAAGTACTATATAAGTATTAACTATAATTATTGTCATCATTAAATAAATCTTTGCCGTTGCTCAGTTGTATTTGGTAGTGTCTGACTCTTTGTGAGTCTGTTTTGGGTTTTCTTGTCAGAAATATTGAAGTGACCTGTCATTTCCCTTTCCAGTTCATTTTACAGATGAGGAAACAGAGGTAAACAGCTTTAAGTCACTTGCCCAGGGTCAGAGAGTGGGTAAGTGTTTGAGGCCAGATTTGATCTCAGGAAACTGAGTCTTCCTGGCTACAGGCCTAGTGGTCTGTGCACTGTGCCACTACCTGCCATAAATAGATAAATCTTAGCCCCTTATAATGTTAAAAAAAATCACTGGCTAGGAATTCAAAGTTAGAAAGAGTAAATAACAAATTATCTTATGGTATACAAGAAATTTAATTTCATTATAAATTATAAATTAATTTCATTATAACACTTACCTAAAAATGACTGGGCAACGGCAAATAAGGCTTGAGGTGGCCATGGTAAGTACCAGTCAATGCCTGTATTATTTACCAGCCCTAAAATAAAAAGTAGATATTGTAAAGATCATTATGCTTCAATAGCATTGACATCTCCACCACCTTTACTGACCAGTGAGTTAGTAATCAATTGAAATACACCAGGGGAAAATTCTGTCATGCAAAGGACTTGCAGTTTCCACCAGCACTGTTAGAAGCAGCATGAGCAGGCAACCAAACTCCTGGCACCATCTCCTCCTCAGACCCTGGTGGAACAGAGGAACTGGAGGCCCAGAGCCCCAGGAAGAGTGGGGCTGGCCACTGACCCTGCTCCCAAGCAATCCGTCCACCCCCACCACAACCCACGCCCAGCTACCATCCAAGGGAGCAATTATTGTGGGCATGCAACCAGGCAACCGATTCTGCGGGTGCCTGCTCAACAGCTACAGGTACTGAAGACTCAGAAAAGAATGTTCTCACCACCCAAGTCCTTGGTGCCAAGCAACAATTCAATACAAAAAATGGAATTAGTTTTATCAGCTGAAATGACACTGAAGATATATTTGTATGTCAGCCTTCTCTCTCCTCTACCAGCCTTACCATCTGCTCTGGAGCTGAGCCTACAGACACACACACACACACACACACATATTAGTGGGTGCATATTCATGTGTGCATGTATATACACGTGTATATACATGTATGGATAGATAGATATAGATGGATGGATAGATAGATAGATTACATAGATAGAGTCTCCACCTATTAGAATGTGTAGGTGGCTCAAATTTGGCCTCAGATACTCACTAGCTGTGTAACCCTGGGCAAATCCCTTAACCTCTATTTGCCTTAATCCACTGGAGAAGAAAATGGCAAAAACACTCCAGTATCTCTGCCAAGAAAACTTCAAGGACAGTATGGTCCCCAGGGTCATGAAGAGTCAAACACAACTGGGTAACTGAACAACAATGACAAATTAGAATGTGAGCTTCTTGAGGTCAGTGACTGTATGGTCATTCTAGTTGTAGTTCCAGCACATAGTACATTACTTTGCACTAAGAATTTATGCTCAACCAAGGCTTTTTCATTCATTAATTAATTAGTGAACAAAATTCATTCAATTAATCTTATACAGAAGTAACAACGAAATAAGGATCCATTAACTAATTTTTTATTTTGAGCAGGAGCATACAAGGGTGTAATATACATTCTCACAAGTCAGAGCAGCAGCAAATAAGCATGAATAAAACCAAATTTCAATCTGCAGAAAAAATAGAATTCTGGGACAGTCCTATTATTCAGAGGAAAGTTGATATTTAGGGCTTATATTACTTGAGTGATTTCCTGAATTTTTCTCATTTGCTTTGCAAATCCTAATCTGGCATCAGACCGAGAAAGTGGGAACCATGCCTAGACTCCAATGCTCAGACTCTGGCAAGAAGGAAAC